CTTGACAAATCACAACCGGCCTACAGTTTTCTACTAAGCATAGTCAAACATCCAATTTTTCAGGTGCTAAATATCGTGACTGATTTGTGACAACCCTTGATGCCACCCCAATGCCCACAAGCCAATTCACAAAATGAAGCACCCGCAAGGGACACCAAAGAGCATTGTTGTGTTTAGACGGACCCTACGACAAATATATAATGACATCACCACAGGGGACTTCATGATTCTCAGGGTTCTTTAACTAGGCCCACTATTCTGTACAATATGCCCCGCCAGTCGTAAGTTGGTTTATAGACCCATCTAACCATAATTACTTTTAGTACTAGTACTATATATATTATATTATTATATAGTATAGTTGATACTAGTTCTACGGATTTGTTTGAAAATAGTCTACCCCACTTCCATCCATTGGATCATCATAATTTTCTCTATTTTCAGATGGCTATGACTGTGGGTATCCCCGATTTTCAACCCATATGGAACCATAGTAAACCCAGTATTATACTACCTATACCAGTTATATGCAACAATAGAATAGTATGAGTATTACATAGTGTAACTAGTTGCATTAGTTATATATAGACAATATAATTAGTAAATCTAGCAACCTAGCTTTTTTTAAGTGACCTGGTGCAGCCCACGCTGTAGGTATGTGAAAGCCAACGACCTCTTCAGCGCGGGACAACGGGATAACTATGAGATCCCAGCAGCTCGGTCCGTCGGTCGACTGAAGGTTTCCTGAAATGGATGGTTTGGGAGTAGCCCCATGGACGGGACACCCCCATGGATTTGAGTTTTAGATTATGTTTTATATGTTGATGCTGAATATGATGTAAAATACCATAATATATGTTAATATATATATATATATATACTGTATATATGTATGAAAACAACATTATGTGTGGGGATTATATGGTGATGGTGATGATGATGATGATGATGATCATTACAACCATATGTTGTTTAATTGTTACGACTATGATGTGGTTAATACTTGCTGTCAATTAATATTTCATCCTTATACAACTTGGATTCAGCTATTCTGACCCAGCCTGGGAACCCCATGGCAACACTGTTTTTGATAGGCGGATTGATCATTGTCGGTAAACAATCCTGCATGAACCACATTCTTCCATGTAACTTGACCATGGCACGCAATCAGACTTCACAAATTGCCGTGCTGGTGATTTTCTTCATCCAATTAACTGGGTAAATTACAGTAAATATTGGATTACCATTAAACTTCAGTAAGTAAACCAGTAGATACTGTGTATTAGTTGAATCCAATTAACTGGTCAATATTGCCCTTCAGAAAACCATGGTGCCATCCATTGGATCTTTTCATGTTGGACCAGGACTGCCAGGACTTGAGGAACTCAAGGAACCAGCACCAAAATTTCTGGCTGTCTCACCATGAAAGCTCATATATGTAGCAGAAATAAATCAGAAACTGTTACCATTAACTCATAGTAATAGTACATATATAAATATATAGCTGTGTTTAACTCATGTATCACAATTTTATAGCAGAGTTTCCCAACCAGATCATACTTGTGGATCTTTCAATGAATACCATATGTGCCAAGGTCAAAACATGGATTACATACCCATATTGGGGGATGGTCGCCAATCCATTACTAACGCGATTTACAAAAACCCTATTCTGGAACATGGATGACCGGAAAGCATTAATCCATGTTTACTCCCATTGTTTTTCAGTGCCTATTGTTGATGGCTGAAATCCCATGACTATTCACTATAGTTACAGTCTATCTCCCATAAACCCTAGGCCCTAGGCAAATTGTAAACCAGGGTGGCTATCCAGGGGCGCCCCCCTAAATTTAGTAATACATCCATGTGATTCTGCCAGAAGTATACATAGACCTCACTGGAATGATGCTTAGGGGTAACTATCCCATAATAGCTGAATTTTTCAGGTTGGTGAAACAGTGAAACATGATAAATGTTTATACGGTTATATACCCATATAATATGGCCCGGATATTTATATATATATATTTGCATATACACACATACATAGTATATCATGGCTCTCAGCCACAGGAACCCATGGAGAATGGCCACCCCATTTGGAGTCGCTGTGGCGGACCTGAGCTGGAGCCCATGACCCTCTACACGTTCTTCGGCGCAACAGGGGGACTGCAACCAGAGTTTTTTCTATGGGGTTTGGATAATATATTGATGCAACTACTGGTTGGTGGTTTGGAACATGGCTTTTATTTTCCATTTCATATATGGGATGTCATCCTTCCCATTGACTTGAAACCACCAATCAGACTAGCCATTTGTGCTGATGAAGTTGTACTGCATGTTCATGCTCTAGTGTTTGCTGCTTGCTGCATCCTAGCATGACCATGCATTGTTTTCTACTTTGAACGCATGCCAATGCCAATGAACTATAAGGTTGAGATGCATTTGTACCGTTGCTGAAGCATATGAAGACATGTCCCGTCTGTTACTGCATGTGTAGTTCATTTGCAGTGAGTCCTGTATGTCAATGCATGTTGGCCCATGTGTAATGCACGTGAAGCGATTTGTGTTGTTGCATTCTACTGCATGTGAAAGTGTTTGTTAGTGCATATTGATAAATGTTACAATAGTGCAGGTGAATGCACATGTACTGTCTAGGTATTTCAAATGTTCCTGTGTATACATATATATGTATATAATATTGTGTGTGCATGCCAACCCATGTTGCACCATATGTTATAGTATTTCAAAAGCACAGCCTGGAAGACACGGTATCTCGAAAAGTACCTTGAAAATGCCTGTTTTTTTACACCCAAATCTTCAAATGAAATCACTACGGCGCAGCGCGGTTTCCACCCCGGGATGTTTGTGCACTTGCACGGCATGTGAATGCTTGTGAATGCAATGGAAAGCATATCAATGCTTTTGTAATTCATGTTGAACTGGTAGTGCATTTGCAATGTATCGACACCACTGTAGCTCATGCTCATGCAGTTGTAGTGCTTTGCAATGCATGTTTATGCACGGCATTGGATGTGACTGCGTTTGCAGCGCATTATCATGTACAGTGTATATAATGCATGTTAATGCACCGTCATGCATGTGTGATGCAGGTCAGTGCACTTGCAGTGCATGCTTCTTTGTGTATATAATGTGTATGATAATGCATTTGTCATGTATTTCAATGTAATGCATTCACAACCTGCTCCTTAAATGCATGTAAGTTCATTTTAATGCTGCTGGTCCAAATCCGAAATTGACTGGGATGAGTTGTTTCATTTCACGCCAACCGCTCAAACTGAGATGTCAAATCATAACTAGTTACCCCAAGTGGGATCAGTGTCGCTTCAAAACGGTTTTGACGAACCATTGTCAGTATCAAAACGGATTTGTCCCTGATACTAACAATCAGGGTTTTGATAGTCACCCCAAGTGTATCTTCTGTTAGTATCAGGGGCAAATCAGTGAGATACGAACCAAGAGAGGCGCAGCCAAGGAACATATCATTGAAGTGCCGAGCATTGCACGGAACACATGCACCAGGGTCAAAGCATGGTATATTGCCCATGGTCATTCCACACTTTTTGGGATTCAAATTATAACTGTTGGATATTGGAATTCCATGGAATTCCATGGTGATATGACCATCTCCAGTTTGTGTCCCTATATGATACCCTCTGGCTATTTAACATAGCCATGGAAAATGGCCCATCTATAGATGGTTTACCTATTAAAAATGGTGATTTTCCATGGCTGTATTAAATAACCAGATCATAACTGGTATAAGTGATATAAGGTATGTTGGTTAATCTGCTCCGTTGGCCTTGGATGACCTTGACAAATTGCCATTTGGATATAACTTTTTTGGAGCTTGCTCTACCGTATAATGTTTGACCCTCTGTGCCCATATATATATACATATAAATAAATAGATATAATAGATATATATATATATATATTATATTATATTTAAACGGTGTCTTTTACCCAGCACCTTCCGATTTTCTGATACTTCCTACAGTCCTCCATGTCACCCGGCCGGATGCCGTTGGCATCCGTTGGCCAAGGCTTGCAGACGGGGAAGATACGAAGCCAGCCCCAAGCGAATGTTTGAAGAAGGAGACCTTGAAGAAAAACTTTGCTGGACTACGTCTCTTGGCGAATCACAAAACCTCGAAGAAAACAGTGATCAATATTTGTCTCATCATGTAGATATACACTATATAAATATATATATATATATCACATGTGTATGTACCCCTGAATTTATGGTTTCTAGTTGGCGAATGCCCTGTTTGTCCCTCAAAATATCGCCACTTTGCCAAAGCTGGATGAGAATCTTCTGAGCTACGGGCACTATGGAGAACTTCAACTAGCGAAGTCACCCAGGAAGTCACTTGGCAATGTCAATAGCTAGTGAGGAAGTGGATTAGTTTGATCAGGCAGTCAGCAAGTTTGGGGAATATTTTTTCTTTTAACCTGCTTGGGGGTTCTGTACCTTCTAAGGTGCCATATTTTAATCCATATGATATGAGTAACTGAGTAACACTTAAAATATCCCTACTTGGTTCTTTGTAGCATTGCAATCAGATGTTTGAAGTCCGCTTGTAACAGGACAACAGGATTGAAGTCCGGTTGACCGTGTGAGAATTCAGATTTCACCGGCAGAATTCAAAACTGACTTGTTGTTTGAAATAATGCTATTTTCCAGTGGGAGATATGAAAAAGATAATGATGACAATGGCAGTGATGATGATGATGATGATGATGATGATGATGATGACGATGACGATGACGATGACGATGACGATATTGTTGATGATATTTTGATTAATGATCTTTTGATTGGCGATCATTTGGTTGATGATCATATGGTTGATGGTTAATGATTTCTTAAACACGTTGAAGCCAGCAATCAGAAAAGATCAACTTCTGCCAGTGAGGCGTCTTAACAGACAAGTTCCTTCCATTTGTTTGTGCTGGTACGTACGTTGTTTCAGCGTTTAAGTCGAGACCTCCAATTTACTTGGTGCAGGAGAATACATTTGCAAGCAATTTTGTTGTTCATCAGCTTGCCAGATTTGATCCAAAAAACATCCCACGACCAACATAGCGCGAGCTATGTTGGCCATGTTGGCCATGTTGGCCATGTTGGCCACTGCGGCATCCAAGGTGTTTGTCCGGAGAAGATGACCAGATTTTTTTGTGACTGCAAAAATCAGTGCTAAGCCACAGCCAAAACCTGCGGCTCCGAAAAGTCCGGAAGTCCTGGGTGCCAGATGAAACACCAACATGACCTCGGTTCTAATCCCATCCTAATGGCCCAATTATGTGGAATTTCCATGAATTGCCCTACTAAACCATGGTTTTAAGGAGGTGTTTACTATCAAGGGGGTGGGATCATGTGGTTCTGAACTAAGGACCTAGGACACTCACCTAGAGATCTAGGGTGTTGTCCCCCAGAGCCATGTGTTTTTTGATGTTCTGAACGGGGTGCCTTGAATCACAATGTTTCATGATTTGGGACCGTGGCTTGACCCAGTCAGTAGGGTGACCATCAGTCATTGATCCTTGCGCATTCCAAACGAGACAAATCTGGTGGTAACTAATGATACTCAAGATGGCGGTACATACAGCCCCGAGAACGCACCTTACAAGCAGAAATTGCCCACCAAAACCTTTCCCTTACTGGCACCATGATGATTCCACTCTATAGTCGTTAAAATCGCCCGAAATCTCCACAGCAATATCCTATTTTGCCCAGAAAAAAAACATCTCGTTCACCCCAAGCGCAAACGGCACCGCCGCGGTTGACTCGTCTTCGCTTCTGCCAAGGTACGCGACGATACGCGACGGGTGGACGGATTCGACCTGGGAAAAAAACGGTGCGGACGAAGCCACGGCGCCATGCTGCGATCTTGGTCAGATGTGTTTAGTTTATTTAGGTTGTTTGTTCAAAAGATATATATATATATATATGTATATTTCTCTTCATTATATATATAGAGAATATATGTAATATATTCATATATATATAGGCACAACATATTAGATTAGTTTTAGGCATGTGTGTTTGACTACATTTATGAATGTGTATATGATATATACATAGATAATGTCAATCATGTCTTCTATGCACAGCGGAAGTGGATTCTACACGACTGTCCACATCGTGTCGCGGAGGGATGCCTTGGGTGCTGATGATTGAGTCCCAGTATGGAAGTGAGGGAGATGATTTTCTGTAGATGTTCTGGTAAAATCTGATAAATCACTCCATTTGTTGAAGTTGTTGCTCTTTTGCCCGAATGCGGCTGACATCCTCGTTGGGACCCGATGATGCCCAATCCTTTCCGGATTGCTCAAGTGCAACAGTTGCACAGCTGCGTTTGAATGACTTGAATTGATCAGTTTGGATTCAGAGATGCTGAAGAACAGGTGTTCCTTCAACCACCTGAAAGTTGATTCAAGGGGTTGCGATGCAGAAACAAAGGATTTGCTTTTGATTTGCTTCTAGAGTCACTGGCAACTTTAATGATTGTTGATGCCTCATGATGAGCACAGCACCGACCAAGGATGGCATTGACATGGGAGTAGCTTGCACAAGGTTTCCATCAGTACAGAATAAACTCATTCCGTTGAGATTGTGTTGCAAAAATCTCATAATGGATCGTTTGACTCTGTGAGATTTCTGTTGCAAGAAAGAAAAATGTTGTGAAACATACTAGAGCTATCTCCGCACTTCTGAAGTTCAACTCCTTTCTACGGCTGGCACTCATCAAACAGTAGAATGATAATGTTCATAATCAATGAACGTTATCATAAAAATATATGTTTTCAAGGTAGTGCTTTCCAGCTATTAGTCGGTTTATAACCACATGGAAACTATAGATATCTATAGATATCTGCCGTAAACCCAACACTTTTGCTACTTACAAACCAACTTGTACCTACTGTAGTATAAATCAATTTTACGTTTGAACAAGTTTCTTGCTCATATAAGTTACAGTAAATCCCACAAGAACACCCAAACGTTTCCATGTGATTCTAAGATATTCCCATATAACCCTTGTTTATAGCCGTTTATAGCTGTTAAACACCTTATGTTCCCCTCTCTTTGAGGGTTAAATTCAATCAGATCGTTTTTGAGAAACCATGGCTCTAGTACAAATCAATTGATATTCAATCTCCATATGAATTTCTTGGTCAAATATTTAACTCCGATGAAGTCCCACTTTTCCTGTCATTTTCCAAGCCCCTTTTCCATAGAAAGCCATGGCACCTCGGAGAAGTCTCGATCCTTTGCCAGCCTTGGAGCCTTGGTGAATAAGAGATTCCGCGTGGTATTTGATATGTGGGCTATATGGGAAAGATCCACCATTTTTCATGGGACAATTCACTATTTCTATGGTAATTTTCCATAGTTATGTTAAATTACCAGAGGGTATATTCTGGTTGGTGGTTTGGAACATGGCTTAAAAATGACTTTCCATTTCATATGCTGGGGATAATCCTGACAAAATTGACGGACTCATATTTTCATGATGGTTGAAGCCTCCAACCAGGATATGATATGATATGATATCATAATTTACATACTCTATATTAGATTTATATATTGTATATACATATACATATCTGTTTCAATACATATTAATATATATGTATATGTATATGATTCATAGATGTTGTAGAGATATACTGTTGATATATATATATATATATTGTGTTTATATCGTGTATATAGTAACAGCTGATTTTTGGGGGGGAAATCAGCACTGAATATTTCAGGTGTTTTGGTAGTATTTAAAGTATACCTGTGGTTTATTGGAATGGGCATGTTTATAATTAAGTCAAAACATGCATATGTTTTTCATACGCATGGTGTGTGTCTTTTTTGGCGCTGAACCCAACGATTCATTTGGGCAAACCATTTGTATGGTATTGTAGTTCTTGTTAGATTTATATATGGGATTATTGTTGGGATATATTTACCTACCAACCTATAGCACCTAACCCCACCTCCAACCATTCGCAAACACACCTGGTGGAGTTGGTACATTTAACATCGAGCTCTCAAGATGTCGATCATGAGAATATGTCAATGAAAATAGCAATATATAAGAATAATCAAAACATCCTTTATAAGCCGGCATTTAAATGGAAAAAATGCCTATACACAGGTTGAATTGTCAATTCTGTAACTAGAGCAACGATAATGATGATAATAGAACATATTATATCATTGTAGATGATCATATAATTATAGATTAGTATATCATTATAGTAATTATAGTGATAATGACAAGATTATAAATATATTTATTATTCCGTGGTTAGGAGTGAGCTAAAGAGCGACTGCGGGTCTCCATATTCCCTAAATGTCCGGAGCTAAGCAGCTACGATACATTCTATGCGTGACAATCAGGATGATCATATCATTAGAGTAATATGTAGCAATGATATATAATGATATATTATTATCATATTGAGACAAAAAAAACACAAATCATGGAGCAATGAATAAGCAATTGACATATATATATATTCCTATGTCACATATATTACTGTGTAATTTCGATGACATTAATGAACACGTCGGACATCCAACTCGCTGAACAATCTCCAGGACCCTTTGGCCCTGCGCGCAGCGTTTCGAGATGCTGGTGCAGCTGGGCGATGCAAAGGCCATATGGTTATATATATATATGAAACAGCGAAAAAGATAGACATATGATAAAATAAAACATGTCTTGGAAGTTACGAACTTCTATTTTTGTTTGGGGGGGTGTTGGATGGTTATATGGGTGGTTGGTCATGGTTAATGGATCATCGGTTGGGGTGAAATCGGTGCCAAGGTACCCCACAAGAATGGCATTGGTGCATGTAGAGGGTCTAGGTATGTATTTATATATATATATATATACCGCCTGTTTAAAACGGAAGGTCCTCAAAAAAAAGGTGCCTAACATGGAAAACCTGGATTTTCACCAAAGGGACCTACTGTTTTGAAAGGGACGTACCTTTTACGAAAGGGCCGTATTTTTATCATGTCCTTTTAAAATGTACCGCAGCTTTGCGCAGCCGGTCTCAACAACTGCTTCCGCTCAGAAGATGAATGCCACAGAGTGGAAGGGAACAGGTCTCACAGATCAACCGTATCTCAACAGAAATACGATGCTGTGCATGTGTTAATTCCTTTTTTGATCCTAAGTTTTGATTCCAGGAATAGCTGAATATGTAGAATGACCAACCCATCAAGTTTGGATATGAAAGCGAGAAATCAGGAATTTCAGCAATGATAGTGGGGATTCTTGGACTTTAACCACTGAATCAGGAAGACAAAGTGGTTTTCAAACGGTACCTATGTCAATTGGTCTTGGCTCTGCAATTGATTGTGACTATGAGGCACCACTGAGAAATATAGTGTCCATTGTTGATATTATTGTAGATGAACTGGTCGATTTTGAATTTTGATCTAGATATAGTTTGGCTGACTCCCAAGCATCGGGGACTACTAATTTGGACATGCCAAAGCGGGAAATAGATGCTTGGCTAGTGCAAAGTTTAAATATACAAAGCACTGTTTTTTTGCTGGTTGGTGGTTATGGGATAATCCTTCCCATTGACTTTCATATTTTTCAAGATGGTTAAAACCACCAACCAGTTTGTTTGTGCGTAGATGGCCAGTGTTTATCATGTGTACCTCTTGTCGCCAGACATTGGGAATATGATTTGGGACCCACCTTGAACTTGGCCGGGCAGTCAAGTCATTGTGTACCCCTTTGGCGTTGGAAGAATCAATCCCTCCAAGTCCACCATCTTCATTTGGATCCGAAAATGAGGTTTCCCGTAATTTGGGTTCTTCAATGTTCATAATTTGCACGGTTCATAATGGGGAAACCATATAATGGGTTCATAATACTGTTCATAATATTGGATTCTTCAATGTTCTTCATCATCTTTTGCACCTTTCATAATTTAGCACAATGGGGGAGTTATCGCAATTGGTGGATCATCCCACTGTGAGACCTCGCTCAGGTAAAGGAGGTGCACCTCTCAACGGTTTCTTGGTTTTTCTTGCCAGGTGAAACGTGACACGCCAGCAATGTGGGAATTGGCAAATTGAATTCATTTTTTGCCATCTTTATGATCGGTACCCCAATTAGTCAGAAACCTAATCATGGAGAAAAAAAAAATATGTTGGAAGATTATTCTGCCCCTTCCCGGAACTTCTTCCTGGTGTCGTCCTTTGTGCCTCGAAACCTATCCAGTGGTGGAGGGAGCGGTTTGGAGCGGGCTATCCATATTCCGGAAGCCAGGTGCTACAAATGGAGTTTCCCCACTGGCCTAAGTATGAACTCACAATCCCAGATATTTCTTAAGGGCTTGCGGAAAGCCAAGCCTAGTGGTGCCAAGTATTTGTGTTTGTTCCTGTCTTCCGTGTGCGAGAACATCTGTGACTAACTGGACGCCTTTCCGAAAGTCCTCTTTGACGGACCAATCATGGTTCCAACTCTTGTTCCACCAGGAAATTGCCGAAAAAAAACATCCGTCGCATCCGTTTCTCTTTTGGTTCAAATTGGAATCCAGTTGGAAACCAATAGGAAATCGCTTGGAAAGAAGTTGATCCCACTGTGGATTCCACAAGGGTTCACTCCTCATTTTTGTTGCTCACATCACCATGTTGATTCTTTGACTCCCTCATGTTGGTCAAAATCGCACCGTTTCTTACTGAGTCAAGCTGGGATATGGACTTGAGTACTCACTAACTTGTTGCTATGATATCTATACAGATAAAGATAGAATGATATATAATACATCAATCAGCCAATCATATCGTGTTTTTTGAAATCTTTCATCTTGGCCGGTGACTTGGGAAGTTCTCCCCACGTCGAGCCATGGCACCTGACTTCGAAGAACTCTTGGACAGCTCGTTGCCCCTGGGATGGTGATTCAAAAACTGCAAGTCACCCATAAAATGGTGAGTTGAACATAGTTAAACATATAGTTAAACATCAAAAATGATGATTTTACAGGAGTTTAATTGAAACTGGGGATTATATAGCTGATTTGACTTAAGTGTGGTGTGTCTGAAAAAATGGTGGATGTATCACCAAATTACATAAAATTATGGGAAAGTGAATTGGGAAAGTGTTCAGTGTTAAGGCATCAAAATGGGGTGGAACCCAATTTTGCAGATAAACTCAGATCATGTTGGAATGTTTACAAGTATATATAATATACCTTATATATAGTTATATATATATGTTTGCTAATTGGACGTGTTTTTTTAATGTTAATGCGTTTGGAGATCTCATCGGCCTTTCGGGATCCTTAAAAGGGGCTGATTCTCCAGTTGATTTTCCGTAGCGGTACTGCTCGGTACATGGACAAGGATACTGATCATGGGCGGCGAACCGGCGGTTCTCAACAGTTGGACTTTCTTTCCCCAATTACCCTCTGGTTATGACTAACATAGCCATGGTATAGATGGCCCATAGAAATAGATGGTTTACCTATCAATAGCATGGTGATTTTCTATGGCTATGTTAGTCATAACCAGAGGGTAACTCCAAATGACACTGCTGTTGGGGCGGAAACCGCCAAGAATTACTTCGAGGACATGAAGTATCCCGGATTGAAAGTATGGAATTGGGGATCATCGAGCACTGTACCCCTGGCTTCGGCCAAACAAACTTGGCGTGACTCCTCGGGCCTAGTCACTTCCTAGGCTCGTCACTGAGTTTAATGCATTGGTTTCTCAAAAAAGGTTCCTGCCACCCCCGGCCAGGTCGTATGGTTTATGTGCACCCAAGGAGCCACAGATGTCTGTCTTCCATAAATCTAAGAGTTAGCCCTCTTACAAACCAATGTATAGGAGAAATCAATCATACATCACCCTTTTGCGGAGACATCACCATTGTCCCTTCTTTTTGGATGGTGACCTCCCTACGTTTCAACGATCTCGTTGCGAGGCAAAACTTTCGGCAGCGACTGCTGGATGCCTATGTCTTAAGCCATGACGGCCATGGACCATTGGGGCGCCCAGTCGGAAGTGGAGTTTTCGGCGTGATTTCGTGGGGAAAAACAGAATGCGACCTTGCCCCTCTCAGAATTCAAGGATTATTGTTGAATTACTAGGATTTTCCACGTGGTATCATTTGAGTATCCTATTTTCATAGAAACTGATACGCAAAGTTGCATCGGGGTTAAAAACTGGTTTCTTGCGGTTCCAGCTGTTGATTTGGATGATTTGGAAAGGCTTTCTTAAACCATCTTGGTTTGAAAATCACCACCTGGATTCTGGATATGCAAAACTGTTTGGAAACCCTAAAGCAGCTCCACAAAAGTTAACACCCATGTCAGTACGGCAAATTCGAATCTCATCAATTGCCATGGTTTTGACAACCCGCGAAAATCCCATCGTTTTTGGTCCAGCCTTTTGGTCCAGCCACAGGGTTTTCACGGCTGAGGTCCAAAGTAGTGCCCAAGGACATGGAGACGGACAATGTTTTAAAGCGCCATGTTGTTGGCGTTGGGGCGGTGGTGTTACATGGTGGGGTACCCCATTTCATTGATGGTTCATGAGGCAACCTCTCAGGACCGGAAACGTATTGAAATGGATGAGGACTGGGGGTGTCCCCATTAAACAAGTCCCCATTCAATCAGTATCTCATTGAAGAACACATATACCCCATTCCAGTGTGTGAAGAGACCATTTACAGAAAAAGTCTGTAGGGTGTGCTTTTAACATGGCTCCCTCGAAGATTTTCTTTAAACCATTGAGGCTAGTAATCCCCAAATGATCAACGAACAATGCCCAAATTATTCCCAAATAAAATCACCAGATAATCCCCTAATAGTCCCCAAACATATATATATATATATTATATAATTATATATATATATTATGTATATATGTATATATACATATAGATATTGGTAATACACTTGTTGTATCAGTTGTTGTCCCTCATCCCTCAGTTCCCTGCCAGGCCAACTCCGTCATCGGGAACGAGTTCGCAGTCTGTCTCTGTCGTGCGCCATTGGGCTCGAGAAATTGCCTGGTGAACCCCCGCTGGGTGGCCAACCGGTGGTATATGATCTATGGATCACTGCCAATACTATGGAGGTGAACATCCATAATCCCGGTTATTTTGATGCTCACCAGAATTTTAGGCATTTTAGGCTTTTCAGTTTTGACCCATCCCCGACTATCTACATTTAGTATATATATATACTAACCACATTTAAATATGTGGAGGGCGGGCCAGACCGCGAGGCCCCGGAGGTAGTATGAACTACCAGTTCGTATATTTAAATGTAGTTGCAGTATGTTTAATGAATTGGATTCCGTATGTTTAAATGGCTGGGCGGGCCAAGGAAAACCTTCCCGGAGGTAACCTAAAATACCTGTTCGTATATTTAAAGATCCGGATATTTAAATGTAGTTACCGTATATATATATATATACATATATATATATATATATATATCGGGAGAGAGAAAGAGAGAGAGAGAGAGAAAGGAGTCAGATAGGATAGACCCTTCTGTTGGAATCTGCTGAGTTAAGGCAGGCCATCGATGAAGTTTCATCCCACCACGAATCAAATATGATCAAGTGCCCCTCCTTCATGCAACTGCAACTCAGTTGTAGGCTGTTTTCCCCTGAGTAACATGATTTCAAGTCTGATCTAACTTCCCTTGTCCAGAAACACCCTGGTACAGGCTGCACTGTTTTTGTGGATGGCACGAATCACGCGCGCCTTATGTTTAGATAAGTTGTTTCTCCACAAATAAGACATGCTTTGAAACCGTTTACAATGGCGCAGTGGAACCCCACCCACCGGTCAGGGTATTTGGGAGAGCAGCGATATCTGCGGAAAGGATAGTGACCTTACTGTGACCTCACTGGAATCATGGTTAGGATTCGGGGAATCCTCACAATATAGCCGCACTTTTCAGGTTAGTGATTCACTATAATTTACCCATATACAATATATAGACAGGTAAACATCCATATACCTTTTTTTGTGATGTCCAGCAGGGTTAAAACACAAGGGTGTTCACCCAAGCTCACTGCCCATAAATTGGCGGGCCCACTTTATCCAGCAAGAATTGCCTGTTGTTATCTCCATCCTGGAAAATCCCAACGATGATATTTCTCGATGATGTCGACCTCCAATCTGGCCGCCAAGGCCACGAGTACAGCGATGTGTCATATGAGGAAGAGGCTTCACATGGCGCCGTTCACACCTTGTTGTCGCCGGGATGAATCAAAAGTGAGTTGGTATGCCGATTCAGGGTTTAACCATCTAGTTTGATATGGGATTTAACTGATTCAACCAGGCAACCATGAAACGGACTGGGATGTAAACCAGGGAAATGGAAGTGGCCATAACCTACAGTGAAAGCCCCTTACCACTAATTGTTCATGATTACAAATTGGGGTTTGTTTTCATGTCATAAATTGGGGTTACTTCACTGACTCACAACTTATAACTGATATTTCAGGCACTGTATGGGATGTTGTGAGATTTAAGCACGACATCTTGGGCATTTAAAGCAGTCAAACTGACTTTTGTGCAAGCCAAAACCACTTACATGGTTAAGAACTCATATATGATTGTCTAAAGTGGTTAGTCACTTGGCCACCAACTGGGATAAGCAATCTGATTTAGAGCTGAGCATATTTGAGATGAGGACAACGATATTTGGCGGTCTTGAGTCTTGAGTGGACAATTGTTGAACCCAATCAACAACTACTAAAGTTACTACGACCAATCATCCAGGACTGAAAGTTTCCAAGTTTCCATGCGATTTTCCATTACTTTTCCCATGAAAAAATCCATCCAGTGGCTGTAGGATCCAGCTGCAGGTCCTCAACCAATTGACACAGAAACAAAGTCATCACCGCAGGAAGGCCCAAAGAAATATGGATGAAGTTGGTTTGTAAACCCATCCAACTGTAGATAAGTCAATGAATAAGCCCCAGTTGATCTAGTTATAAGGCATCTGATCATTCGTTTGGGTCCCTTCCTTAAATCCTCCAACTCTGTAGTGTGTGTCGTTTTGGCAAGAGTGGCTTATATCCCAAGTACAAGTACAAGTATAATATATATATACATGTATACATATGTATAGTTATATATATATATATATTTATTTACATGTATACACCTATTGTGTATCACATATTTTGTTTGTAGCATTTATTTGTATACATGTATTTTATATGTTGTATGTAAACATAATTATATATACACATATAGATACATGTGCAGTTTATATATATACATATATATATACAATGCACATAGAGTCTCTCTCTTTCTCTATATATACATGTATATATATATATAGCATATTGAATTTATCTATTTGCATATATTTACCCTCCAGTAAATCAACATAGACCTTGCCAGATAGGGGTTGGAAGGGTAGTTTCCAATAGAAATGGTGGCTTTTCAGGGTCGAACAGTGAATTTACCAGAGGGTATATATGTACTTGGATGTGCATCCCAATCAGTAGTTGATAATCCATATACATATACATATATATATATACATACATATACATATGCATATATATATATATATATACATATATAACCCATATTTCATCCCTTAATTAATAGGGGATATTCCAGTCTTTTAACGCGTTTTTGACTCGTCTCGCTTCGTGGGTGCAGCGCGGGGCAAGGTGAAGCCACTCATAAACTGAGGCCCTCAGATCTCGAAGGACTGAGCACCGAGGAGGCTCCGCCCTGCGACCGAAGCCCATAGATTCGCCATAAATGATATAGCTGGTGGCGTGTATGCGAAAAAAAAACAACTCCAAATGATGGGTTTATCTGGGATTTGGGATGATACATCTGCCCAGAATGGTATTAGTTTGGGGATCTCGCCAGACGTGATTGTTGGATGTTGGATTGTTAGGATGTGTTGGAACCAACAACCACACATGAACATCGTACACAGATATATATATATATATATATCTATCTATCTATCTATCTATCTATCTACTGTGTATGTTTTTTTGTTAATATATATATATATATATACATACACATGTATTATCTAAATGGTGTACATTATATAAGTCCATACAGATACACATTGATATACACAGCCAAATTCTTCCATTGTTTTATTGTTGAACACATGTTCCAGAGCCTCAGGCTTTTTTATAATGATTTACAGTAACTGTTAGTTATACATCTATAATGTACATCTATAACTGGTATGATGATAACTAGAGTTATATAGTTGTAACATGTTGTAACCGTGGCTACAGGAGTTGCTCTGCTGGACAATCCCCATTTAGTTCGATATGGCTGTGGGTCAAAAGCCATGAAGTACCCTTAGCGGGCCCCCAAAGAGGTGGGGTTCATACTCATCCCCCTAGAAATGGTATTTGTAGGTACTGTTTGACCCTCCAAGTACGCATTAAAAAACAAGTGTCTTATCCCATGATGTTGGTTTTCAGGGTACGTTTTTAGGGTCAAACGGTATTGTCATAAGATGCCGGTTCCCCGAATGGGGGTTACTGCCACCATCTCCTTGATATCCCACCAGGCAAACACCATCCGAAACCGTCTGCGTTTGCGGCTGGGAGTGATGCCTGGGACAAAACTGGCCCTGTGGCCCAGTGGGCTACTGGAGGTGGGTGACTTTCATGTGGTAAACCTGCCCTTGGGGGATGGTTTATACAGATTTATACAGTATTGGATGGTTTATGAGGGATTGCCAGAAGATCATGAAGTTCCCCCTGTGGTTTTGGTGTTTTCAGTAGACCAGAAATGTGGTTTTGTAGGGATCATGTTTTGTTCATGGAGAATATTTAGAGACCTGAGGTATCCTGAGGTCATTTGTTTGGTGGTGAAAATTCACTTTACTGTCCATCCATTTCTTTTCAGATGACACTAAATTCTCATCAAGACCTTTGGAGCCCGCAAAGGATAGCAAAGTTGACGCCATTGTTTTTTGATTTGTCAGGTTTTAATATGGAGGATATATAGCTATAGTATGTTATAGTTAATGGCTTCATAACCCATTTTAAAACTGATATAGCTATAGTCAATGGATTAATACATGTTAATAAACCAGTTTGAAACTTCCTTCTTTCTGGGCGATTTGAAGCTCAGCTGCTCGCCTGCGTGACACTTGGATTCCGATGCAATCAACTGGGGCAAGAAACACTTGTCAACATTTATGGTATTATCAGTTATAAGACCTACTGTAGCTAATAAATTTTGAAAACTCATAATTATCAACATTTCTGGTATTAGTTAATGGAATTACCATCCTTGGTAAATTTTGATGGTGATTTTCCTGGGATGATGATCCCCCACCGCACAGCTTGGAGCAACCCAGGTCTCTGGGCATGCACTGCATGAGGCGGTTTCGGCCCTTGGACTCACCCGTTCTTTGGCGGAGGATGGAGCGGTGGTGATGGAGGGTGGGAAGATCATCGGATCGAATGGAAAAATCTGCAGGAAACCCATGGAAACGCATGGACATCCAACTTAGTTGGAGGTAAAACCATGATGTCCTCTATTTTGTTTCTCTTAAACCAACCCATAAAATTTTGGTTCAATAGAAAGATCAGATGGGAATGGGTCAAAGATTGTCCACCATGCCACTGGATTATGTTCAATTTTTGGTGCCCACCCAATGGTAGAGATATCTACTTGTGACCTATGCCCAGATCAGCATCAAACATGTTTGGTGTGTGAGACATGTGGAGGCATGTTTAAATAGATTTGTTCCATCCAATAAATGGGAATAAAATTGGATGATGATCCCAATTGACTGCTATTTTTTGGACGGGGTGAAACATGTTGAAAGATGCTGAAACATGTTGAAACCAAAGCCTGATATAATACATATTTTGTATACTATATATATATTGTACATGTATAGAAGGAAGCGTGCATGTTGCCCTGCCCACGCGCCTGCAACTAAGGTTACACGGAGGAAGAGGTGAACGACACTGGGCACCAAAAATATTTGAGCAGTGGCTGCTAAACCAGTGTTGGTTGATGATTGTAGGGTGCTACATATATATTCATATATATATATATATTATACCAATATTTTTTTTGGGATTACATATGATTTCATATCATAATCCACCATGGAATCATTGTCAACCAGGCTTTTTAGGGATGACAGAGTGTTCTGCACGCTGCTCATTTAGCTGGGTCCTAAGCTGTTGTGGGTTCTGCATGTTTTACGTTGTCAACATCTCAAAGCATATGCTTTCTTTTGGGCCATGGTGGATAGAACTGGATATACGTACATAGTACTATCTAGCAAAGAGACATGGCCGACCAAACCCAAGATATCGGGCTTGGGATTTATATTGTCTCTATATCATGAACACTGATCCAAAATCCAGTAGTTTAGAACATCCCGGTTTCCGTTGAAATATATCCATGAAATTTGCGTAAGCTATCATTTTTTTACAAGCCGGTATTATCACATTGTTACTTATATCCCTTCAATATAGTTAATACCCCGTTAATACCCAATAATTTCATATCATTGTAGTATATCCTGTTATATCCCAATATATCTTAATAGTGCTTTGCTACAGACAACGGCGCCTCCTCGGGGTTGTAGCGGGCTTAGGCTGCGAGCTAAGTGCGAAAGCCGTGATGTTGTTTCATGGGTGTGTTTTCACACCAGCAGTGTTTGCATTGAATTCATATGACGGGACGAATGAAACAAAAATAAAATAAAAAAAACACGTGAAGTGGCCAAAAAAAACATACTTACTCGCAGAACAGTGCACAGTTTGTGCATGACTCAGAACGAGGCTGAGAGCCCAAAAACAAAGGAAAAAAACACAAAAAAAGAAAGAGAGTTGGCTTGCCAACTCGTGCTGGCTGTGCTGGCTGGTGTGGCTGTTGCATCTGATGCCGTGTGCTGATGCTGCTGCTTCTGCCCCAGTCCCCGTTTTTGTCCCGTCTAGTCTCGTCGTTTTCTCGTCCAGTCGGCCTGGAGACCTCCACGGGTACAACGCACTGAATGTGCGCTTGGACAACCACTCTAGCCCGCTTAGGGCTCCCCTTTCTCCGGCCGCGGGGGCCGATGCCATGGTTGCAGCTGGCAGCTGGGGCAACAATAGCTTTGGTGCGCTGTCGAATGTAGCATACACAGCTGCAGCGGTTGGCAGACGCGCGGCTGATAGCACAGAGCATCTTGACGGGGCCTTGGCCTGTGATAGCTGTGAGGTACTCATCACTCAATGGTTATTCTTGGGAGCACTGGCTAGCTGTGGCTGCATTGTTCAAATGTTGTCCTCTCGTGCTAGTGCTGCTGCTCCTCAAAACGCGTCCCAGCTGGTTGTTGCTCCGTTCTCAGTGCTTGGTTTCTCCTGCCTGGTGGTTTCTCTTGCCGGGTCTCCCCGTCGCTTGGCTGTGGGTGGGCTGGGCGGTCTCGGTCTTGTGGTGGTTCTTCGGTCTGTTGCCTTCTCGTCGTGCTGCGGGCCCGTGGACCACTGGTGTGCTTTTGTTCAGCTGGTGGTGGCGCTTTGTCCCTCATTTCTGGCCGTGGGATTGTCCTTACCCTGTGTTGGGTTTGGCTTGGTCCCTGTGGATTACTGGAGGCGCTGGTATGCGTGACTCGTTTGCTTTGCTCCTGTTGGGGTCTTGGTACTGTTTTCCTCGGTACATGCCTTGGTCGTTCTACGATCCTCTGTTGTGCTTGCTGTGGTTTCTGCTGATGGGGTTCTGCGCCTGCTGTTGCCCGGGTGCTGGCTTTTCCCAAACCTCTCTTGCCCCTTCACACCTCATGGTTGAAACGCCTGAGACGAAATCAACGGTGAAACTGGTGTCCTCTGCTAGGCTGGTTGGACATTCCCGCAAACGTGACATTAGAAGAAAGCATTGTGGAACCTTTAGGACCCATGTTTTGCTTTTAAAGGGAAAACGACGGTTGGCCTTTAATCTGGCTCATCAAAGACGCACTTCCAAACGAAGACGGTTCCTTGTCATTGATCAGCATGGAGTGGTACGGCAGATTGTGGCTGTTGATAGGACATTTGTTGTCAAACGAACACGTGTCTACAAACGAAAAACCAAACGGTGCAAGAACGACTGTGAGCACTGAGGGTGTTTCTCTCGATCCCCCCAAAATCCCAAAGTTTCTTTTCCCGCTGATAGCTGTCATTCTCAGCGACGCAGAAATTTCTGCAAGGGTCTTAACAATGTTTTTGGTAATTTGCGTGGCCTTTTTACTGGATTATTTTTTTGCAGTGGCGTTGGCGCACTGACAAACTGAATGGTGATCACAAGCGAAGTGTGGACACGGGCGACGCCAACCTGCATGAGTCAGCTCAGGTTTTGAGAAAGGAAGGCAAAACTGTGAATGTCAAGTGCAAACATGCATATAGACAAAAAAAGATACAGAGAGTGGCTCAGGGCGACCACATGTCGACTTGTCCTGTGTACTCCACTCTTCTCTCCTCCATGCCTCATCCTGATTCTTCTCCAGCTGACAGCCGTATTTTTTTCCCGCAGCAGAGGATTCTCGAACAGGGTGAAAACTGTTTTTTCGGCAAGTTTACCTCTGGTTTGAGCCGGAAATATTTGCATTGGATTTGTCACACTGATGAATTGAATGGTGGAGCCGGCGGCAGCGCTGCCACTAGGAGAGTTCGTCAGGAAAAAAGGTCCTTGTCCGACACCTTGGGTGAATTCTTGCAGGAATGGATTGAATCAAACCAAGATGGTACCTCTGAAGACATGACTCGAGCTCAGAAGAAATTCAAAGGCAAGGGTTCTCAGGTGTCAATTGGGAATAAGGGTAGAAGTCCGGGAGAGAGTGGGACTTCTCAATCGTATGGCAAAGCTGCTGGAAAAAACCCGGCGGCAAAATCTAAAGGAAAAGGCAAAGCTACAAAGACGGGACACCCCCAAGACAAGTTTCCTCAGGAAAGAGTCGTTGAAGCTGAGGATAAAGCTGAGGACAGAAACTTGGCTCGTCAGCTCATCGATGTGTTAAAACAGTGTCTTAACAAAGGATGCTCTGATGTGCAAGTTGCCACTATACTGTTCTGGGTCACTTGCAAAACCAGGGAAATGAGCACAAAAATCAGGTGACCCAGCCTAAAGCTATCAAAACTGGCAAAGGAATTGGACAGCTTCAAAGTTTTCAGGGAGGACGTATGCACACGGGAGCCACCGGAGTGAGAGAATGTGAGTGGTCCATCAAGCCTTCTTTGATTACTTTTGGTAAGGCCGTTCAGCTCATCAAAGACGACTCCACCAACACACACACACACAATCTCATTGAAATCCGCAATTCGGATGAATTTCATGAGTTTTGCACAATTTGGAAAGCCTTTGGTAATCCGGGTTCAGTCACCTTGTTGCTTACGGGACAGGCTACGAATCTCAAACATGATGGGATCAAAACCCAGAAAACTATTTTCCGAGGGAAATGGGGTTCTCAGGTGGAACAAGTTGGACTGTTGCGATTGGGAGATGCTGCAAAATGTCCTTGGAATAAAGCCATGACCCAGGTGCCCCGGGAAAAAATCCCTGTGGTCAGCAAATGTACCGTTCGCATCATGGCGCCTGAAGGATACCGGAAAGTGTTTCTTCGCAAGGACGACTCTCCCATGCAAGTCATCAGTGACGTTGCGAGCCAGGCTGAAACACAAGTCTCTCAATTGACTGGAGGCACATGGAGTCACCAGAAATTTGGGAATCGGAAACAATTGGTGGGTCACCTGAGGTTGAACGACACAACCGCCAACAAGGTGGTGGCCACCAGCGGAAAACAAGGAGTTTTTTGCACCAAAATCTCCAAGGATTCTGACACCGCTCCCAAACCCAAAGTGTTTTGGATCACTAAGTTGGCTGATGAAGACCAAGAAACGTATTACAGACGATGTTTGACATTGGGTCAAACGCGTAAGCAACATCTGATCTTGCGCCCTGGAGGCGGTGCGGACATTGGTTTTGTGTGGCAGACCCAGGATCAGGAAATTCACAAGCCCAAGGTATATGATTTTCATGGAGTACCTTTGGGATGGGACAGCTCGGAAATTATGAGCCTCGTCACTGATGTGGGCTGGTCAAATCCTGTTGTTCTGTCTAGAAAACGAAAGGGTCAAGTTTCTTGTTGGAGAATCCGGTCCACCCCCCCGATGGAAAAGAAAGATGAGGGCAGTTGGACTTATTCGGTTGACGATGTTGTGCCTTGGACACTCAATGTTCTTTTGGCACCTCCAAAGGCTGCAAAAGCTGTGTCCTCATGGGTTCAGGCCCCCAGGAGAACCTTTGGGCAGTTTTCGGCTGAAGAGTTCCCTGTTCTTGACAATGCCCAGAAAGCGAAGCCTGGTGAAAAGCAGGACCTCGGCAAAGGTTCTCAAAGCAAGAGTAAAGAAAAAGGGAAAGGAGAGGCTTCTGAACGAGGTCGATCAAGAAGCCCGATGAGAACACAAGGAAAAGACGTGAAGCAAAGAATGAAGATAATGAAAGCAAAGAAGACAGGCAGGGATCTGGGAAAGGCAACGGTGACAAAGCCACTGATGACTGTGTAATGGCCACTCAGTTGGACGACGAAAGTCCAGCGCCTCCGCTTTTGGACCCTGACTCCGCCATGCAGCATCACAACTACAGCTTGATTGATCAGGGTGATTGTGGTGATTGTGCTTTTAGGGCAATCTGTGACAGTATGTGGTGGAATGATGAGCCTGCTGCGGGTGCCACCTTTTCACTAGAAGACGCAAAGAAAAAAGGAGCTTGGTTGAGAGCCCAAACGATCAATCATTTGAGAAAGCACAAGGCTGAATTGTTGCCCTTTTTTTACCAACACTATCGGGGAAAAACTTTTGACGATTGGCGTGTTCAAGCCAGTGAAAGTGAGTACTGGGTGAATGGAATGCTCCTCCAGGGGGTCGCCAACAAATTAGGAGCGGCTCTGATTATTTTCCGAAAGGCTGACAAGGGAAGTTGGCAACGTTTCTGTGTGGCACCAAGATTTAATGCGGCGGGATATGCCTGCGCTGCTCAGGGTGTTGCTCCTATTGTCCTCACATTAGAACAAATGCATTACAAAAGCTTGAGAGTGCCGCGTGGCGCGGAAGTGCCTGATGCATGGCTACGTGAAGGCTGCGATGTGTGGAAATCCAACTTGGAAGGGGGAGGCATTCACAAAGAGCAGACGCATAGCCCTGCCACTTCCAAGGGTACTCCTTCTGTCCATTCCTTGGTCCATGCCTCTGGTCATGGTCTGAATCCTGCCCAGTCGATTTCCTCGCGGTCCGTCCGTACTCCCTCGGTCCATTCCGTCTTTGGTCCTGCTCGTCCTGCGGCGGGACCTGCCGAGTCGTCCTGTGCGCTGCTGCCCCGTCTCCGTCGGTCAGGCCTGCCGTTGCTCGTCGTGCTGCCTCCGTGTCTGCCTTGTCGGATATCACCCCCTCGGTGCATACCATGGTGTGTCGCCCCAGCAAATCCACAGTCGTCAGAGCGCTGGTGCTAAGGAGAAACAGGAGACTGGGAGCAGTTCCCAAAAACGCAAACATGTTGCAGTTGGTCCTGATCACAAAGCGGTCACTGAGCAGAGGGAAAGCTCTCCGGGTCGACTTAGCCAAGGGAGCGTCTCGTCGCATTTGCTTGGAAGTCAGGATTCAGGATGTGAGAAAACGTTTGTACGGCAAGCAAGCCCCGGACTTTGCCTGGGCATCAGTTATCCCTAAATCCCCTTTGGGAGGACAGAAGCCTGCTTCCTCGGCCCAGGATAAACCCAAGAGAAATCCGTATTTCGTTGAAGCTTTAAAATGGACTTGCCCGGTTTGCCATGAAGAGTTGACCGTGAGAGGACATGATAATGGTCTTCAGCAGCGTAAACGACACCTTAAAGTCAAGCACAACCTCATGCCTCACCAGGTGGGGGGAAGTCGAAGTCACAAAGCCAAATTGGGCGCCAAAAAGCGGGCCCACAATGGGGCTGCGTCAGTGGCCATTCAGCGGGCCATCATGAAAAAGAAGCAAGTGGAACATGAACATGACCATGATTTGGTGCATTCTACCACGCAAGGGCTTTTCCCGTATTTCAAAAAAACTTGGTTTTGCAAAAAATGCGTCAAACGTGGTTGCGCACGTGAAATGGCGCAAAAAAAATGCAACATGGATTATTGGGATGCGCATTGTGCCAAGTGGTGGAACAGAATCCCTTCCAATATCAAAGATAAAATTCGGCATATTGCTAACTGGGCTGTTGATTTCCGAGCTGCGCTGGATCAATCTGCAGAAAAATGGGCTCATCTCCCCGCCGCCAAGAAGAATTGGCATGGTGAAGAGAAAATTCAAAGGCAAAAAGCGGAAAGAAAACGGTGGGGACAACGTCATGGATTTCCCGAAAAAGCCTCTGGAACGGGTGGCCGGGCTGCGGCTCGTCATGCGATTACTGAGGTGATTAAGCACTAAGGACGGGCCATGACGGCAAAGCGTCGCGCAGAACTGGCTAGCATGTTTGGCAGTGACAGGCTCAGTCCAGCTGCGCCTGCAACCTGTGCCAGGATGGAGACGTGGAGCCTAATCCGGGTCCGCATTTGGGGAAAAGACGTCCTAGATGGGATTCAAAAGAACTTAAAATCTGGCAGGTGAACTTGGATTCTTGGAAACTCAGGGGTTGGGATTTACTCAGGGAAGCTGAAGATCAAAGTGTCGACATTATTTGTGCTCAAGAACTCAAATTGCGTAAGCATGAAGGGATTAGTCTCGCTCATCATTTGAAAAATTGGCAATTTTTCTACATTGAAGAAGCCCAGATCAATGAAAGACATGGTCCCGAAGGTGGTTGTGGTATCTTTGTTCATAAGACTGTCCCTGCTGTCCGTGCTCAAAGTTTTCACAACTCTCAAGGTCAATGGATTCGAGTCACTGGCCCAGGCATCCATTTGATCAATGTTTACCGGCGTCCGTTGTCACAGCCAGGACCAGAGGAACAATTTGATCGCTCTTTGTGCGAAGAAGTGATTGGGTTAGGTCAATGTCCGGTTCTTATTTTGGGGGATTTTAATCGTGAACCGCTCACCTTTTTACCCTTCCAGTCCATTCCTCAGTTGCAGCTTTTTTGTGTCATGGATAATGCTGGCACTCCCGACGCGCCTATTTGGGTTCCTGCTGCAACCAGATGGGAGGGCAACCGGTGCGTGGACTGGGGAGCGGGTAGACATGTTCAATGCCATGCGGGATTCAGTGAAGACAAATGGGCTGACCACAAGTTGATTTCTTGGACGGGAAATTACCGGAGATTGTCACCCAAACCGGACCTTACCAGACCGCCCGAAGTCACTGAAGAGGCCTGGGAAGAAGCTTTGGAAAAAGAATGGCTCTCCATGAGCCTGAACATCCCAAACAAACCCACTTGGGCACAGCTTTGTCAGGCGGCAGAAGAGGTCTGTGCTGCGGCTTTGCTTTCTTTAGGCATTCAGCGCCGTCAACCCACCAACTCTTCAAAAGCTCAACCGGCAAAGGTGGAACAAGTGGTGCGTCATCACAGGTTTTCTCAACAGGAAGAAGAATCCATCCGAATCAAACGACTTCCTCGTCTGTGGCGCAGGGTGATGGCTTGGAAGAAAGGAGACCGCGCTAGGAATTTGGTGCGCCACATTAACAGGGAAACTCGAGTTTTGGGTATCCAGGGCGTTTTACTTCAACTGGAGGATGCTGATAATCTTTTGGATTCCATTGAAGAGTGTTTGCTTCATGACATGGATGAGCTTAAACTGAAACATATTTCTTGTTGGAAAAGCAATCTCCAGCAACGTGAAAAAGATGGGTGGAAGTATCTTGCTCGCACCAAACTTTTGGCACCGGTCAACTATTTGAAGCACGACGATGGCGCTATTTTAACGGGCCAACCCTTGTTTTCCCATATTGAAGGTTTTTGGAGAAACATCTGGCCTCAGCAATCTCAGACGTTGGCTTCTCTGGCTAACCCGCTTTGTCAGGCGCAAACCTCGCCAAGTCCTGACTTGTCGCCGATCCAATGTATCCATATCAAAGCTGCTGCAAAAGATAGGAGGGGCAAGGCTGCGGGCCCGGATAGTTGGAAAAATGAAGAGATCCAACACTTGCCCTTAGGCCTGCTGGACTTATTTGGAGTCTGGTCTTCTGACATTGAAGCTGATGAATGCGCTGAATGGCCCAGGTCTCTGTGCCAGTGGAAACAGATAATGCTGCCCAAAAACAACCTTCCCAAAGGTTTTGGTGATTTCCGTCCCATTGCGGTGGGGTCGGCTTTTTATCGCCTCTGGTCGGGGATCCGCACCAAGGAATTGGCACCATGGATTCAAGGCATTGTGGGGGATGAAGCCCATGGGGAGATAAAAAAGAGAAGTCCGGCGACTGCTTTGCTGCAACCTTTGGCTGAATTACAAAAAACACAAATGCAGGATTCCTCTCGGATACGTCACCCTGATCCTCCTGCCATTCGGTATGTGGGTGCTGCTGATCTTAGTAAGGCCTATGACCGGCTCCATGCTGAACTGGCAGCAGCTTCTCTCATCCGTTTAGGGTGGCCGCGGTGTCTGGTGGCCAGATGGAAAAAAGCTTGGATCTCCCAAGCCAGGTTCTTGCAGTGTGGTTTCCAAATTTCCCAACGGGAGGTTTCCCACATCTCATGTCTACCGCAGGGAGACCCTGCCAGTCCCAGCGGGCTTTTGGGGCCGCTGTTTGAATCCATGTGTCGAATTCGGAAAAAGTTTGAGAAACCGAAACATGGCAGAACTTTGTATCGTATTTTCATTGATGACCGTAGCTGGTTTTGTTCTGAAGTTCGTACTACTGTCGCTGTGGCCACAGCATGGAAAAAAGAAGTGGCTCAACTCAGTTTGGCTGAAAACCAGGGGAAAAACGATTTTGCGGCTTTTGGAGGTATCAAGCATCGTCATCTTTTGAACCGTTGCTTGGAACGATCTGGAGTTGCGGCTCGATGTCTCATGTCCCCAAAGATTTTGGGTACCAGGTTGGAAACCAACAGACGGTTCCACAGCCCTGAACAGGAGGAGTTGGAACGTTTCACAAAGGCCAAATCCTTGACTCAAACGATTGCTCGCATGCCAGGTACGTCAGCTCAGAAGTTGTGCTGGGTCAAGGGTGCCGTCATCAATTTATACTGCACCCAAGTCCTTTCCAAGTTACCGGCTCTTAAGCAAATTGACAAACTGCAGTCTCAGATTAATCAGGCTTTGACCTCGGTTGGGCATGGTACTGCCGGGCCTCTCCTCTCCCTTTTTTGGGGTCATACTGCTTGTGTCAAATTCATGTCGGGTTGGAAAACAACTCAAATGATGCTACATCGCTGGTCCGATTCCACGTTCCGACACGGGTGGTCTGCTCGGAGGACTCATGGCCCTCTCTTGTTGGCCAGGCGTTGGCTGGCCAGGCATCAATGGGAGGAATTGGGCCCGTGGGTTTGGGTTCACAAAATCACCGGTGACGTGACGTGTTGGCTCCTCCTGGGGCTCTGATCCCTCGGAGGCCTTACCAAAATGCCATGTCCAAGGTGTATCGGTTGTTTGCCAATAACTTTGAGGAAATCAGCCATGTGCTGCGGGTGGCTTGGAGAGCGATTCGCTGGGAGCAATATCTTCAACAAAACCACAGAGGTGAGGTTCTTGCCTCGCTTCATTGGTTTGATGTCCAAGAATCCTTTTTGAAGACCAGAAACATTCTCAGTTCTTTTGAACCGCATGTCAGACCACATGTTATGGCCGTCATTGTGGCTCATGTGGTGTCCCGTGCGTACTGGGGGAAAATGGAACAAGGTGGGGTACCTGCTTTTTGTTCCTTTTGCAATCAATCCCATGTTCCCGATTTCACTCACATCATGTGGACGTGCATGGGCTTTAACACGGATCGTCCAATGTGTCCTGAGGCACTGGTGCAACGCACCTTGGGTTGGTGTGACCCAACCTTGTCAACTGAGGAAAATCGTCGTGTGCTCCGGCACATGGCGCGTGTCCGCGCTGAGGTGGTGGCAGCACGATGGGCACCTGCTGAGACAACTGCGCGCTAGTGGCGCGCCTCCGCGAGCAGCAAGCGCTTGCACCGCTACTGCTCTTGCCAACGCTCTACTACTACTTAATAGTGCTTGGTTGGACATTTTCCATGTTTGGTGAATACCCGATTTTTGAACGAACCAGCGTATGGGAGATGGGGTCCCCAATGGGTCATCAAATCTTCAAATAAACCATTATAGTATTACAGTATAAACCCTTTTAATAGTAGAACATCGTCAGCACATATAAGTTTGCTCATGCAATTAATACCCACTAGATGTATCCCACTATATCCTCATGTTGGTTCATTGTATATATACTAAGTGTGTTGGTGAACACCACCTGTTTCCTGAAGATTCCAGTTCTACCAGAATATACCACCATGATATCCCTGTTAGACCCTGAACATAACCCATGTTTAGTGGAAACCAATCTTCCAACCCCTATCTACTAGGGTCTATGTTAATTTACTGGAATGTATATTTCACATGGGGTATTGTTTATCGGTGTAACTGCCATGGCCATGTTATCAACTGGAATTGCCACCCCCAAGTCCGACTGTTTTGTATCCCTTCCTTTGTTTGCTAAATCACCGTTGATAGACATGTGTATTGCAGGTGGTTTTCCACAATGATATTATGTATATATATATATATATTATTTAATATACAATATAATACAATATAATATACAATATAATATAATATAATATATAATATTATAATATAATTTATTATAATATAACATAATGTAACATAATACAACACAATATAATATAATATAATATACAATATAATATAATATACAATATAATATAATATACAATATAATATTATATAACATAACATAATATATTATAATTTAATTTATTATAGTATAATATGATGTATATAATATAAAATGATATAAAATGATTTAATACAGTATAATCTAATATAATATAATATAATATCATATAATATACTATAATATAGTATAATATAATTTAATTTAATATATATATATATATAAATATCACCATATATACATATCAACACATCCATTGGTTAATCATCGACAAAGCCATTTCACCAGTTGTAAATTGGAAGTGTTGGTTTTGGGGGTTCCAACAAAAATTTTCGTGCATTTGTGATTCATGGAAATATACGTCCCATATCACATAGATTTCCAATGGATTCCAATCCAATTATATACATAGATAATGGATTCCAATCACATAGATTCCAATATTCATAGATACTCCCATTATATCCCCAATGGCAAATGGATTCCAATCTGCCTTAGGAACTCGTGAATCGCCTGGCAGATTTCGTGGGTTTGCGTTTCAGAAACGAAAAGGAACACGGTGGTCGCCCGCTTCTCGGTTCACGCTGGGCCGGGTGCTTCCCCTAAAAATTGGAAGTTGGATTTAGCCATAAATTGTGTTTCTAAATGTATGTGTATTGTGTAGATATATATATATATATACATATTTATTTTTATTTATTTATACACACATGCGTAGCTGTTTACATGGATATATGCTGTGTGTCTGTGATAGTTCAAGTTTCACGAGGATTTCTAGCACTCCCGCCGGATACGAAGAGACACAGAGTGGATGATCATACAGGAATGTACATAGATGCACTGTATCTAGTGTGTATGAATAGATACAACATATCACATTATGTATATAGACAAAATACATTGAGTGTATGAACAGATGCATGCAGTTTTCATTTATATATGTATATATGCATATATTATCATATATTCTGGTTCAAATATGATTTCTGTATTGCTATGTTCAATCAAGACATACACACAGAGATTCACCCCCGATTAGACCAATATATGTCAACACTTGGTACCAGTAGGAGAACCCAAGACTCTATTGTTCCGTTAATTTTCCTATGCTCATGCATATGTTGTGTTTCATTCTTCAATGGTGTTGTTTCGAATCAGCCCCACATTTTTTTCAAAAACCTTTTGTGATGTCCTGAAGACTAGACAGTTCATTGGTGGTTTCAAGTTGTAGCTTCTGTTTGCTGTTGAAACGGTTTCAAAACTCTCAACACATCCCGCCGAAATGATAAAGCCAAAGAGCTACGAAGCCAGAGTTTTCCAATTGATAGTTGGTGGTAATATCAAGTAATTAGACTATTACTGGTACTGAATAGTTAGAACATAATGAACAATAGTTTTTAAATACTATTCTAGTGATTTTCCATGAATTTAACCAGCCCAAAAATGGATGTTTTCCCGACTTCGCCAGTGAGGACCATCATCGGCAACATCTTTGGTGCTGCAGCCGAGGCAAAGAAACCTCTAGGCCCCGGGAGAAGGTGGGTGGCTTTCCAGTGGCTCCCATCCCTGCCATCCGCTCCAACGGCCCGAATAAAAAGATCGATCTGAAAGCCCACAGATTTTTGCTTCACGCCATGGGGACACAGTGGATGTTACGGACGGAATATTCAGACACCTATTTGAGACATTTTGAGATGGGGGTTGTTTTTATATCAAGAGGACGGGATTTTGGGTGTGGTACCTCAAAACGCGGGGATATAGCTATATCTTGTATGGCTATGTATGGCTAGTTGAATAGGGAATATGATGATAAACCATTGTTCTTGTTTCTGGGGGTGGACGTGCTCTATTTTCACACATGCATATTGCTATGGTTTTACGCAATCAGTGAAGCTTCGATGGCTCGACATTATTTGATATGTATATATATATACATACATATACATATGCATGCAATGCAATGCAATGCAATGCAATGCAATGTAATAGATGTATATATATATACATATATATATAATGCATGATATGCATGCAATGTTATGTACTGTAATGTTTTTCAATCGAAATGTCACACGGAACGGTATGCCAGGGTATGCTATATTGTGGTGTGCATGTATGTACCCCTCCTTTTGCCACCATGTGAACTTGTTGTTTGTTCCGGCAGAAAGTGGTGTGTCCTCCCCTCCTCCTCCTCCTCATCATCATCATCATCGTAATCATAATCATAATTATTGATCATGAAAGACATCAACAATATCAACAACATCAGCAACAACAACAACATTGTCCAGCTTCCATCACTATCACGTGTCAAGGCTGCTCAAACCCACTTGAAGTACATGGGTAGGAATGTGGGCCATGCTAGCTCTTTATACATAGTAATCTATAGATACATATATTATATTGATATTAATTTACATGAATATATATATACACATATATACACAATAGTAATCGTTATATATATCCCAATAGTTATAGACAATAGTAATAGTTATACATATATATATATACACACTATATATATATATATATCTGTAGCCAGTTCCCCGGATATATCTCCCTGTGAGGCTCTGCCATTTGGGAATGGCCTGAGGGCGAAACCCCTGGGCGTGGAGCGCTCAGGAGTACCAGGAGACCGCGCGCACTTCCGACCCCAGCAATCGGATTGGATGGGTGACCGGCCACCACGAATTCGATGGTTCACCTTAAGTTGTTTAATATTTATATATATATAACATATATATATATATATATAACATTTAATATTAAACATAAAATATAATATAGTCTAATATATATATATAAGTAACATATAATATAATCTATAACATATAACGTAATCTAATATGTATATATCTATATATATATATTATATGTTTTTTAAACACAATATTACACATGTATGTATACCTGGATCTTCCTGGGCACTCATTTCTGCCCTTGTTAAAAAACACTAGAGTTCTTGACATTCTTGCGGACAAAAATCGCCGTTCCTCAAAATGAATGCCGTTTCCTAGTGAGAAATTATCAGCCCACGTTGTCTGGCATTCTCGCATTGGTCCGGTATTTTTCGCCGTTTGGTCGGGCATTTTCGCAACTGCAAAACGGGTTTGGCATGAAGATATCAGAAGAAACTCTGGTCTGCCCAATAAGGTCGTTCTTGGGCAAAAGACAGAAATTAAGCACCCTTTCGAAGAGGCAGGTACATGTATAACTGTATAACTGTATAAACATCCTATTAATGAAAGTAAATCCCATTGTGTCTGATCTTTTAGATAAATCCCATATCTTGGGTAGATTCCCATCACATCCGCACTGACCCCATATATATTTCCAGCAGCCATATGGTACAGTAGTTGAGACCTCTGGTGACGACTGGGGATCCTCCATGGCCACCATCCCATCTTCAGGTGACTGCTGATGAAAAATCCGCCCATCCCATGGTTGAAATATGTTGAAATTGCCGGCACACAGCTTTTTTGCCATTGAAAAAACACCGTCAGGACCACCTTCAAGTTGGTACATCAACAGGCCAGTTCCAGCTACAACGTGGTCCCAGCCGAGGCCGCGGAGCAGCGGAGGGGGTGCTTGGCGAAAGCCGCTGGAGGAGACTTTTTAACAGGGCAACCATGCAATTACAAAACCCAAAAATTGGGAGATAGACCCTACAAGTATGGTGACCCTACAACCGTGGTTATGTATAAATATATATATATAATATATATAATATAATATAATATCATGTAATGCAATGTAAAATATAATATAATCTAATCTAATGTAATATAATATAATATAATATAATATAATACGATATAATATGGTATGATAAAATGTAATGTAAGATTTAATATAATATAACATAATATAATATACAATACAATATAATATAATATGATATAATTTAATTTAATATAATATAGTATAATATATTATGATAAAATGTCATGTGAAATATAATAGAATATAATATAACTTAATTTATAATATAGTATAATAATATTTAATATAGTATAATATAATTTAATATAATATAATATAGTATAATATAATATAATATATTATAATATAATATAATATAATAATGTAATGTAATATATAATATACTATGATATAATAATGTAATGTAAAATATACTTTAATATAATATAGTTTAATTTAATATAAAATATATATATATATATCGACTTCTAGCTGGAACTGCAGCCTCGAGTACTTCCCAGTAAACCATCCATAGAAAGACCCAGATCCCAAAGGATATGTGATTCGGAATTACCGAACTTTATTTTTGTGATGGGTGGGCCATATGATATCCATGTATGATACATGTTCTTGCGTGTGAGGTCATGTCGATGTGAGGATGGGTTGTCATTGATTTGTTTGTTGGCCATTGAGCCAGTGAGCCAGGACTCTTGGACGTGACATTTTGACTGCCTTGATTCTTTCACTGCCTTGCAACGTTTGGGTAACACGTATCCAGCTATTCTTTGAAGTTCAATATCCAAATTTGGATTGGGTTTTACAACAATATTCATGGATTGGGTTCCAATATGTATATATATATATACAACCATATATATATATATACACTATATGTGACTATATGTACATATATATATTTATATATACACGTGATTATATAATTCAAAGATTTGTATTATCCATTGCTTCCAATTCTGGGACTGGTGAACTGCAGGGAGGCTCCACCCGACTTTACCCAGGTCTTGATTGAAGTCTTCCTCGCCCGGGATGGAGAAATCCACAAAAAGATCTTTGGAGCTCAAGTGGCGCAGCTTCTGAAGCTGCAGACAGTGGCCCTTTAAATACCATAAGTTTGTGGAGAAAAAGCAAACATTTATGATCATTTATGGCATGTATCAGCCGATTTATAACCATTTATATATAAATGCAATTTATATTTATAATTTAACCATGTATTACCATCATTTATAACCATTTATGGCATTTATATATACTTAAGGTACAGTAAAGGGCTTCGACTCCAGGTGGAAACTCTGACCTGGTGAAGTTGTGGTAAGCGTTGAGGGATGCCGATATCTGTGGTGGCAATGTGGGTGGCCCAATGTCACCACAGATGGGAAATCTAAGACTCGAGACTCATCCCACATGGCCTTATTAAAATCATCCAGTTGTCAGGTTGGCAAAGGCTTATTCCATGTTATTCCATATAGATTCAACCAAATAAGGTTTCAAAGGTTTCATATCTTTAATCACATGGCTCCATCTCATTACTGGTGCTAAACGCTCGAATTTTAACGGGACTCCTCTGACTCACCTCGAGAACAACAGCTGTGGAAACGATGAGTAAAATCCCATTGGAATTGGGGATACTCAACGGATAAACATTAAAAAACAAGTCAACATTGATCCACGGAGAAGTCCAGGTTTAAGGCGATGCGGGAAATCTTGATGGCTAGCGATACCAATCGCTTCTTGGCGCAACGCGCTGTCCGCGCGCTGTCGTGTATACTGAGTCCTGGTGGAGGTGACAGGTAAGTGTCAGTCGGATTGCCACCTGTGATTTTCCGAAATCCTGCACCAGGCAGGGTAACTTTGGGACTATGAATGGTAAATCTCATGGGATTATAAGGGGACAGAACATCTACTAACTGGTGCAGGACTTCTTCCATCGGTCCACATGTGCATCACGATCGCAGCCATTTATCTCATTTCCTTTGTCGTTTGATTATTCTAGAGATTTCAGTTAAAAGTGTTGATGTCGTGCATGCTGCGCGTCTGCTGGATGCCCTCTCCCCACCATTTTCTAGTAATTGCTGTGTTTCTCAGAACTCATCGGCATTGTCCCATCCATCATGTTTGTTGGATGCGCTACAACATAAGCGTCATTTTGCTGGGTTGTGCTACCAAGATTTTCCAATCATTATATATTGGATAGATATGGGTAAAAAATGGCGTATACCTCCAAATGGCATCGAATTGTTTGTGAGGAGAAACATTCTATGTCCATGAATTGCATCCCCATTACATCCACATGTTTTCCTAATCATTGCTGCCTTCATCCCCATATATCCCATGATATGATCATTCTTAGACGACGTGTTTGGTGCCCATAAAATGGTGTAAAGCACCCCATAACTTTAGTATGTTAACCTTTTTTGTGGTATTTGGAGGGCCTAGGTATTGTTATTATCATTTTACAATATTTTACATATCTTTATATCCCGGCCCTATTAGATTGTTAGAAGTTCATTATATATATATACATTATATATTATACTTTATTTATTTATTTATTTATAAATATCTCTATTTGGTAATTATCACTGCATATCTCTTTATATGATTTTGTATCCCTATTAGAGTTGATCACTATAGATTGCCGAGAGCCAAGGACTAGTGGCCGAGAGCCTTGGCGTTAGAGGCGGTGGTTGAGCAATACAAAGAATCAGAAATTGGGATACCTGAAATGTAGCTTGCAGTACATTCACATAGACCCTGCCATTCATCGGGGTTGGAAGATTAGTGTCCACTAAAACATGCTATTTTCAGGGTCTATGTTAATGTACCAGAGGGTAATTTTCATGTAATATGGCTACATTGTAATCATGACAATGTCCATTGCAAGATTTCATTAGACACATATAGAAACATATAGAAACTATTGAAATACGATGGGGATACAGTGGGATATTCATGGAATCTGAATGGGATCTCGAGGTTTTTGATGGATTTTCCAGAGCCACGTTTGAGCTACCAGAGTGTAATCCATTGAATTTACAAATCCGGATTGGATAGTCAATCAACTGAAATCACTTGAATTTATGATATTTATCGTTCGGTGTGGTCCTTTTTTAGATATTCAACTGGTTTTCTGATTAGCCAAAAGTTGGGGAGCTCAAGATGGTCCCAAGATGGTCCCTCTTGATCGCAAAGGAGCTAGATTGTCACAGAGCATCACTTTCCACATACGAAAATATCACAGTTATAGCCCTTTTCACAGTTGTAGCTGGCTGAAAAAAACCTGATTTATGTGACCTATATGTTTCACACTTATTGCATCTTATTTCATGTCACGGCAGCCATAACTGGCTTAGGGCCATGACCGCTTTATCCTCCAGTAAACTTAGATATGGCTTATTTTCCATAGCAAAGGTGACTGCTGCAGCTTCGATCTTCTCCATCACCGGCGGCCTGAGGTTGACTTTTGTGCGCATTAATGACTTAGCAGCTCCTCCGGAGCCTACGCATCCGCTTATGTGCGCGAAAGTGAGGGGTGGGTGGAAGATTTCCGGTTGCATGGCGGTTCCCAACCATTCCCTTAAATGTTTGTTTGTAAGTTTCTTGGGGGTAATGATATTTTGTACATAACCATAAGTTAGAATTTAGCCGGGGAGCGTGAATCAACCATTGGAGTCAGGATTTGAATGGTTTTTTCGTGGATCTAACCCAATTCATGGGAATATCATCAGGATATCATTGGATAGAAAATTGGATGATGATATAAGAATCTGATGATGTGAAACCAGCAAAAAAAAAGTTACGGTAATTCTGAATCGCTGAATCGCCAGAATATCCTGTTTGAGGGACATAATTACTCACTCCGTGTTAATGACAAAACCAGTAAATTCTGAAACTCAACCTGCACTGCCACTGCAAATATGTTTCAGTGAAATATTTGATGTGTGCACACTCCATTTGCACTGCTTCGTCGCTGGTTTGGCCCCACAATGTGCCAAGACATCGGCCGCAGGTACATCGAGCCAGTGGTGGCCATTCTGATCGTTCTCAATGGTGTGATGATTGGGTTCCAAACCGAGACTTGAAGGTGATTTTGACATATGGAGGTTTTCTGAAATGTGGGTACCCCCAAATCATCCATGTTAGATTGGGATGTTCCATGAAATAAACCATCCAGCTATTGGGGTATCCCATTTATGGAAACCCCATATGTTTGAAATACGCCTCCATGCAATCACCCCCAATGCCACCATTCCACTTCACCACGGAGATTGAAGAAGTGTGTTCTCGTGGCAAAAACAAAAATGATGATGATGAGACGAACGTTTAAAGACGTTTAAGGTGCTTGCTGGTTTGTTCTCTCAAATCGGAAACAACAACGGCAGACGTGGAAACGTAGTGTATTACAGTTATGGCCCTTTACCAGTTATATACAAGTCAGTGAAATAACATGAAATCACCCCATTGTCTGAAATTTATAACCCCATAGAAATGTCCGTGTATGACCATTTGGTATTTCGGGCTTCAACTGTTTGGAATGTTGTAAAGATAAGCCTTGTTTGGATGCACAACGTTTCTCTCTGAATCCCTTGGATGCTCAAAAAGAGCACCAGTTGCCCCTAATTCGAAACACAAAACGAAAATGGACTAGAATGGCTAGCTGGGAAGTCCCCAATAAATGGGTATATGAGATGTTTAACTGGAAAATCATCGGGTCATTCCTTTCCAGAGAGCCATGTTTGACGCCGGAGGGTAGGCAAATACTTTGATGCTATCATGATGTTCTTGGACAGTGCAATGAATCACTTCTTAATGTGTGTTTCCACCAGATTTTTTTTTACAGTGATACAGTGGTGTCCATTCAAGGTGGTGAACACAATGAGTTTGAAGTTGGCGTGTAAACCGTTTAACATCATTTGACCACAGTTATACCATGTAGCCCTCTGTAAACGCTGCCATCCAGAAGACCAAACCATCAAAGCAATTTAAACCCTGCGCTCAGGATCCCGCCTTTGAGGACTGGACGGGATTCTTCTACATCGAAACGGTGCCTTGATGCGGAACAAAGAGATCTGGGGTTGTTTGAAAAAAATGAAAAGTTGGGGGAAACTCATGGAAATTATTGGGTTGATCATGTGTTTCCTCATGATTTGATGGCTATCACTGGGGGAATACAGCATTTTCAGACACAGAGATCTGGATGAACATGTTTCACTAGATGATTTTTGTCGTGGTGCTGTTCCGCAAAAAAACAACTCTATTCTAGGCGCCTGTTTGTGGATTTCTATTCGAGATCAATTCCTAGACTATGGGGGGGTTGTCCCCAGATTGAGCGAGGACATGACCTCAACCACGATCCAAACCTTTGAAAGCCGGTGCAGTTGGGGTTCTCAATGGACATAACTTACACAACTTATACTTGCATAACCATGGGACTGACCCTTTGGAAATCAAACATAGCAATGCAAAATCCCAAAACCAACGAACTAATGTGGGAGATGTTCCAGCCATGTTTGATGACACCTATGCTCTAAGAAGTTGGGAAACTGCACCCTCAAAGTAAGATTGATGTGTGAGAATTTTTGCAAACCCACTGTGTCAAAAAAATGTTATACATATAGAATTGGGTATCCGGTAGTTTCTATATTATACACCAAAATATCTCCACTTATAAATAGTTTATTTCTTTGGCTTAAAGAATACCCCAGTGGAAATATGGAGGATGACCAGTTACATTACATGTGGTTAAAGTGTATATGGATAAGCCTCCAGTAAACTGATTTAGACCCTAGACATAGATGAAATTAAACAAAAACAAAAACAATGACGGCGTTACATAGATATACCTAGAAGATCCTGAGGCAGAAAATCAATACCTCCAACACTCGAGTCAGAAATTTCCGACCCAGGTCAGAATTTATGACTCTGAAAAATGAAAAATGACTCCCAATGGGGCACAAATGGCTGAGGGACATGTTGACATGTCTGGGTGGCAACAGCGGTCGTGCGAATATGGTCCGCGTTTGGTTTAGGGCAGTGTGCAACCTTAAATGCAGAGAATGATTGGCTTTCCAATACGGCACACAGAAGAAGAATTGTCATCAGGTTGCACATTTGACCGTTGGTTCTCATCGGGGCCTATTCTCATGCTGGGCCCGTGGTAATGATGCTCTTGCGAACTGTGAACTTCAATCACTGCGGGACTTTGGTTTCAACTTGGCTCGATCATTCCGGAGAACAAGCCGCCAGCGTTCTACTGCAAGCGCCTTATCTCGTCAGAAAGATTTGCCACCTGAAAACGTTGCGAGTGTATGTGTGTTGATTTGATCCAGGCAGCCTTGGGATAGCTCTGACAGATTTGCGAACTGGAACCAGTCTTTGGGGCAGACCCAGGAAGTTACACCGCAAACCCGAGAAGTTGCGCCGCAGCCATTTTTCTATATTCTGCCATTAAAAACAAGATTTTGAACGCTGATCAAGCCCCTCCTCTGCCGGATGGAATGCCAGAATAGATGCCAGAGAGAATGGCAAAAACATATTTGTCAGATAGAATGCCAGATAGAATGTCAAAATATGTGTTGGATAGCATAACAGACAGATAGAATGTCATAAAATGCCAGATAGTATGTCAGAACATATGTCAGATAGAATGCCAGAGAGACTGCCAGAATATATATGTCAGATAGACTGCTAGATAGAATGGAAGAGAGAATGTCAGAAAATATTCCAGATACTGTAGAACGCCAGCTAGATTGTCAGAATATATGTCAGATAGAATGCCAGACAGAATTTGAGAATATATGTTAGATAGAATGCCAGATTGAATGTCAGAAAATATGTCGGAAAATATATGTGATAGAATGTCAAAATATAAATGAGATATATCATGTCAGATGATGTGCCAAAACCTATGTTTGAATACGTCAGAATTATGCAAGGGTGGGGACCAGTCAAAGTACAGTATGTTTGTAATACATATATATATATATATATGCACACACCCTGACACACCCTACAAGTCGCAGATAGTCGAAGGCTATGGTTCCAATAGTCCTTACAAACAACTGTTGTTTGTCACTTCTAGATCCTCCTGGTGGTCCAGCAGCGCAAGCCTCCGGAAACTAAGGTCCACAGACATAGTGGTGGATGATGGTATCTTTATAATGTATACAATTATGTTTACGTTGATATTTATTTATTTATTCACAAATATACATGGGATGGTGTGGATAGAGATTCCCAAATCGTCCCTGATTTGGCATACAATGTCGATGCTTGATTTGAACAACAAACTAGTACAGCGGAAGCAAAAACTGCGTATAGAATCCTGGAGGTGACGAAAGAAAGGAACATGTAAAAAAACGTGTGGTTCCAGCGTGGAACGCAGATTTTTTTGAGGTGGAACTGTGGAAAAAATATTTTCTGGCGTGGTCCCAGCGTGGTCCCCACACCGCAATAAATCAACTAATGTATTGTTGAACCAAACAATCGCCCAGTACATTGTTGATATAAATCTAGTATATACCCAATACACCAAACAAACTAAGGTCGAACCGGCAAGCCCATAAGCGTGGATGATAAAACGCGATGGTGTGAGGCCTTTTTCTAGAAAAAAATAATTGTGTGCTGCGCCTGATTTCAGCTAAGCTCAGCCAAGACAGGGAACACGGGGTCCAGGGTAGTCCAGCATGACCACACAGCCATGGTACAAAAAATGGTTCCTTAGGTATATATTTACAGATTATTTACATGTGGTTACATATCCTCTGGTTATCAAACATGGCAATTCAAATTCCCGAAATTCTGGAAGTTCATGAGGGGATGGTGCATGGCTATATTGGATTGCCGTATACCAGAAAATATATAGTGAATACTGCATGAGCCTTCCATGAATATTATTTCTATTCCCATTATATACCCATTTTATCACTGGGAAATTCAGGTCACAAGAGTGAAGGAACGGTACTGTATGAGGCAATATTTTCTGTGAAAATTACTTTACATAGCCTTTACATAGGCCTTAAATATGGTAGGTACTGCAATTTATAAAGGTCATTCAAAGGGTCACTGACCATACCACCATTTTTTCGAAGGTAAAATCCACCAAGCACAGGCGATGTTCTCCTTTCTGCTGCTGGAGATCGCTCTGCGGATGCATTTGTTGAGCTTCAGCGGCAGGGATTTGTTTGATTTGCTTGGGGGATGATGCGTTGGGAAAAATTGGGGTGCCTAGTGTTTAAACAAATATTTTTATTACACACATGATATATTAATATATATTATATTTATATATATATACACCTAATTGACACATCAGCAGTGGACACAGGACTATTGAGAGGATACCCTGGACTGTCCATGGGATTAAAATATACATATATATATATATTTGAAAGAGCCACCAATATGGAAAATATTGATAAGTAAACTAGTAAATACGGAAGTGGGGACGTAATAGGGTTTTAGCCCAGTGGGCTAGCGAAGTTGGCACAGAAAACTCCACCTTGCAGAGACGGACGCGGCGGATTCCACCAACAAGGGAAGCTTGGGATATGTGGTGATTAATCATCAACAATCTATAATAATCGGGCCTGGGCTGAAATCTGGGTTTTAATCCGGGGGATTGCGGGGGAGAAGGCAGGTCTTCCACATGGGAGTAAAGGATGATGCAATTATGCAACATCTGCTGTTCAACTAGTTTATTTCCTCGTGCAGTCAGTCCGTGACAGTAATTGGACATATATATATATATAGGGGTTGAGGGAAATGATTAAATTCTGATTTCTTAAATCGTTTTTTGTCCCTGAAGTCCATGTACTTCTAAAAGTGAGCGCGCACCCGGATCTCGCCAAAATAATTGCACTGCAGGAAGCGTTTGCATCAACGTACCGTAGCTGATTTTGAAATCCCTGTGCAACCCTCTCGCCACTTTGTGCATGTTGAGCCGCTCTTGTTGTGGCGCGGTGTTTGTTTTGATATCGCTCCTGCGACCCTTTTGCCACCCTGAGCATGTTGAATTGCTCTCGTTGTGGTGCGGTGCTTATTTTGTCAGAGATCTTGGCAAAGCGATCTTACAACCGTCCCATAGCGCGCTCTTAGGCAACAACGGGCAGCAACCGCCGCAACGAACACAACAACAACGACAGCAGCAACAACAACAGAAATAACAGCAACAATATCACTATCACAAACACAGCCACAACCAAAACAGTCACGTCATGTTTGATCAGCCACATCAACAACAACAACATCAACCACAAGAGTTTTAATTATAATCAATATCAGCAAGAAGCAGCACAGAGTACAGAGGCAGCCAAAAGGACTCGGCGCATCAACAAGTGCAACAGGACCGACAAATACGCTATCAGAAAAATCCCGGCAAGAGACCCAAACCAGTTTTGAGAAGAACATCAGCTGACAAAATCTCCTGACGAGACTTTGCAAGATCTTCATGGCAGAACATCTCAGAGAATCTCACAACATCGTTATGGAAGGACCTTCTTACAAGAGGTCTTTAAAAAAAAAACCTGTGTGCCACAGTGCTGTCATACAAGGACCTCTAATAGACGGCATCTTGAAGATTTTTTTTGCAAAGACCTCTTAGAGCCTTAGAGGATTTTGCAAAGATCTCCACAAGATCTTCTCACAATGACCTGTTGCTGTTGTTGCTGTTGTCGTTGTTGGGTGGTGGTGCTGGTGGTGGCGGTGGTGGCTCGTGCCTTGTTGGTGGTCGAGGCCGCGGATTGCGCCTACCAACTCTTGCAAGCTAGCAGCAGCATTCACATATTACTTGACACATTCTTCTGTAAGCCGGCTTTGGACTAAAGTGTTGGAGGCAATGTCATGTACGGATTGTGAACGGAGGAGTTGCTTCTTTGGGCAAATGCCTGGGCTTCTGCGCTTCGCAACGTATTTGCCAGTGTGTGTGTTCTCTTGTCCAACTTCCCTAGTGATTGCTGGTCTGTGACAATGATGTTGATGATGATGATGATGATGATCTTGATGATGATGATGTTGATGATGAAGATGATGGTGATGATGATGATGATGTTGATGATGATGATTGTGTTGTTGTTGATGATGATGATGATGGTGATGGTGATGGTGGTGATGGTGATGGTGATGATGATGATGATGATGATGATTGTGTTGTTGTTGATGATGATAATGATGGTGATGGTGATGGTGGTGATGGTGATGATGATGATGATGACGACGATGATGATGATGATGATCGTTCAGTTGGTTACAAGGATGGTGTTGGTGGTGGTGGTGATGATGATGGTGATGATGATGGTGATGATGGTCATGAATATCTTGATGATTGGTGTTATCTAAGTTCAAGATAGGTGCTTGATATCCAGCTATAAGATAGGTACGCCACGCTTGGTACGCTTGGTGCGCTTGGTACGGTACGCTTGGTGCGCTTGGTATGCTTGGTACGCTTTGGGTAGGTACGCTTGGTACGCGTACTTGGTACGCTTAGCACCTGGTACCGTACCGTACGGTACGCATGTACCGTACCCTACCGTAACCGTACCACATGACCAAAACCGTACCAAGAAAAAACCTACCAGCCGTACGTACCAGACATGTTTGGATCTTACTTAAGGCCTCTACCACCTATCTTGAACCTAGCTAAGATTGGTGTATTTGATGATTCTATTGTTTTTTTGGTAATGGCGATCGTGATGAACATCATGATGGTGATGATGACGATGAAGAGGAGGAGGAGGAGGACGACGACGACGAGGATCAAAATGATGATGATGATGATGGTGATGGGGTGGCAGTGATGCCGACGGTGCTGTTGCTGGTCATGAGTGATGGTTTTGCCGTTGTTTCCGCCGCGGCTGATGATGACGATGATAACAATTGGTGATGGTTGTTCGTTGTTAAACTGATCATACTTCTTGGCGCTTCGTTGGACCAGTTGCACTTGCGAACAACCGAGGAGATGGGGTCCCTACTGGTGTGGGCAAGACCGCTATTGGAACTGGTTTGATTTGTTCCTAGCCGGGACACAAGCCGAGGGATGGGACATTCTTGCGGAGCATTTCATGCATCTTCACGCAATGTAATTGTGCATGTGCTATTTAAATTATTGCATTTTCATGTCACTGTATGTCCCCCGGAAAAGGAATACATATGAATTTACATGTTCATTCGTATGTTTCAATGGTTACAATGTTGTTAATTGAACTAAGATGTGTTTGGCAGGTTTGTTACCTTTGAAATGGTTTCGTTGACATGACCAGCCACACGACATGTTTTGGGAACCGGCAGGACAGCATTGGTGGACCTCTCCACGCAATTGGTGGCGGAAGACAGTTTCGACATGTTCGGAGCTTCGTTATTGCGTTTTTTTCGTCTGATACGTCCCCAAACTGCATTTGGAAATGGTGTTTCGTTGGCAATTTTCGAAAACGCATTCTATATTTTTGTAAGGGGATGATTTTTTGGGAGCAATGGGGAACTTTGTGAGGTCACAATAACATGGATGCGGTGGCTGCATCCGAGTGCGCTACTCAACCATTCAAATTCCACATGCTTTGTTTATTTTCAAAATATCCATGATGGGCAATGATTCTGATATGTTTTGTGCTACAATTGCTATTAAACATGCTAGTTGCAAAAAAACATTGCGCATGTGGTCATACCCTGCCAGCCGTTTTTCGTATTTTTGGAACAAGGTCTGGTCCGCATTGTAAAACTATTTCGTCTCTTGGCTGGATCTGAGATTAAATTTTGTTGATGTGGTCGATGGCGCGCGATTTTTCGGTGCACGCTGCTTTGCGTGATGGTATCAGTTGGTATTAATATGTATCAAGGGTGATGATTAACTGTTTTATACATGTATATGAGTATATGTATATAACTGTATATATAATATATATATATATATATTTGGTACCCCCCCTGAAACCTAACTTTTTGACATATTCATCAGATGGTTGGGTCAAAAGGGGGTTACCTTACATACACGCTAAGGGCATTTTATGTGTATATATATATATGATTATATATGTATATATATTCTAATAGTGTAAAAAAGTATGCTATTGAGACTGATTGAACTCAACTTCAATGATAGCATTCTGGGAAGAATGCGTTCAGAATGCATTCTCTGCTAAAACCAAGAGCCAAGATTTCTCCAAGACTCCTGAGCCAATCTTGGTTCGAACCAAAACCAAGAACCAAGATTCCCCCAGGACTCCTCGAACCAAAACCAAGAACCAAGAACAAAGATTCCCCCAGGACTCCTGAGCAAATCTTGGTTCGAACCAAAACCAAGAACCAAGAACAAAGATTCCCCCAGGACTCCTGAGCAAATCTTGGTTCGAACCAAAACCAAGAACCAAGAACAAAGATTCCCCCAGGACTCCTGAGCAAATCTTGGTTCGAACCAAAACCAAGAACCAAGAACAAAGATTCCCCCAGCACTCCTGCAAATCTTGGTTCGAACCAGAAGGTAGCCTTTGTGATGTTTTTGTTTAAGCAAAGACGGCTCGCATTTGTTCATTTCAAGTACGCACAATTACTGTCAAAATATTAGGGCATACTGACTCTAGAAAACACAATGTAGCAGTACTTGTGCCACATGTGCAGCATGTTCTTTTAAATATCCAACTTGTTTTTCAACAAATATAGTGTCATGCAGAGAAAAACATGTATGGTATGTTCTTCAAAGTAACGGCTAAATTTCTGAAGAGAGTCTTATTTGATTTGAAGAGTTTGAAGAGATACTGAATTTGATTGGAAGGTGCCTTGTATGTTGCAGGGACTGTTTGTGCAACGTGTTTTTTCCTTTCAGAAGTATTGTACTTAGTACGTTAATGCATATTTACATGTTGGAAAAAAACACCGGTTGATCGAAATGAAGAGATATATTTTCAAGAGAAGTGGTTTTCTGCAAAGGAATGCTACCTATTGAAAAAGGAATGCTACTTTTGCTTAAGGAATGCTACACCCTTTGAATGAAAGTGTCTGTTTGTAAAGCCTGCTCTTGTCACTTAGAATTGGTTAAGAGAAGGATGCATGTTTGATCGTTTCTTGTAGTCATTTACAGTGTTTTCACTGCCTTTTTCAGGTTTGGGGAAAAGACCCAAAGTTGAAGGATCTTTTTCATATGGGTTGAATTACTACTTCAGGGAAACTTTGCAGAGAGGTTGAGGTACTTGGAGGTACGTAAATTATACTTAAGACATAGTTTGGAAGGGGTACGAACTAAGAGGTCCTAGGACCTCCTGAGACCCACACATCATCCAAAGTATTGAGCCACTGCAGCAGTACAACAAGAGAGAAGCTACATAGTAATTAGAAACAGGCCGAAGAAATATCTACCATATTGATCATCAAATAATATGTCTGCAAGATCTGAAGGTGTCCAAAATCCAAAATTTCATGTATCACAAAAAGGAATAGAAACACTGTAAAGACCAATGTAAAGCTTAAAATTTACATTTGGCCACAGTGCCTTGCGCATTCTGTCAATGTTTGAATTGAAACCCTTTGCTGGGAACACAACACGGTAGTCGAAAACGCTTCACATACCATCAAAATATGTCATTGTATCTACACGAAGCATCATGACTCATGATGATCAAGCATCCAAAGTCTTCAGATGAATGAAAAAAATGTTGGCTACTTTTGAAGGCAAAAAACAACAAAAACCACTGTAAAACACAATAACATTTCGAAAACAGTGGGTTTCAGGGGGGATTAGCATCTGTTTATATACATATATATATATATATATACATATATTTACATATATAGAAATATATACATATGTACTAATATATATATATATTTATATTTACACATCAATACATACATATATATACAATATATATATGTATGTATGTATATATATATATACACAATATATATATATATATATGTATATATATATACCATGTGTGTATATACAATACATTTACATGTATTATATTTTGTGTTTCATTTTGTATGGAAAATGTCACTTTGACCAAAATGAAATCACCAAATGTTGGTGATTGTGCTTTTCATCCCATGCAATTGGGAACATGTTTGTTCACCCCTGCAGGCCACATTTTAATTATAGAGGAACACTGATAACACCAACCAACATTGATCAACGATTGATATTGCCTCACAACATATTGTTGCTAGACACTTTGGAGCCACGAAAACTAGCAGGACATGTTGTTGATATTGTTGTCTAATGGTTACAAGTGCCCATTACAGATGATATTTACTCCATTCCAACATTGTTCAATTAAGGCAACACAATTGTGTTTTCAACCGAACAGATCTTCGTTGTAACATGTTGTAACGCGGTTGCGCAAGGTTACCCGGATGAGTTTCACTGAGTTTCAACTGCTGCCAGGTGTGAAATTTATGAAAGATTTGCGTTTGATGGTGAAGGGTTTGATTGCAGGCCAGGGTCACATTGTCCGGTGTGCCCATGTGTGTATTTTTTCTTATAAATCAAAAAGAAATGTTGACAAATTAGAGTGTTGAATATCCTTCCTCATTTGGAATGTCATTCCATCAGAGAAAATGTTTCTCAAGAGGTCAGACTTTCCAAACCGTCACGGTTTTGAATTCACGGTCAGACCATTGGATGTTTCTGCCAGTCATCGTGGTACCCCAAGTCACCATAGGTTTCTGCCAGGCATCAAGACCTTGGCTATGGCATTTGCATTACTCTTTGCCGTGCTCTATGAGACTGGGCGGCACGGGACAGGACGCTTTCGATCCTTAGGCAACATGGACAATACAGATATAATTATGGATGAATTGTGTTGTGTGATGCTCCAAGGTGGTTTTAAATATGTTAAATTGGGGTGCTTCAATTCTAGCTGCGACCATTTCTCCTGCACGTGTGCACGGACACATCTTTGACATGTCTCTACATATTTATAGTGTTATGTTGAGATACTATTGGAAACACATGTGGTGTTGCATAGGTGTGCAAATTTCTCCGGAAACCTTTCTCTTTGGAAGTCCTCATTGCACTAACCTAGATCTGGAAAGCACATGGCTTCCCTCGGAAAATCTACAAATGATGGGTTTTCCACATTTATGTTAGTTTGCAGGAGCGTACTTTGTTGGAATATCATTGAAAAGCCTCAAACCTGATGGTTAGCCCGGATGTTGTTTCGTCAAACTGGTAATTCGGCCCTGGGGCCCTGGGTGCAAGACTGTTCCCTTGGTTTGCTGCGTATGAGGTTGACTCAATGGCCATAGATGGAGGATATCATGGATGAATATATGCATCATTTCAGTATCTGACTGTGCATCTGCCAGGTTCTTCATTTCTGGAAACATATACAAAAAACCTCTATCAATAAACATGGGGAAAGCCTCGCAATTGTAGTACCTTTTTTGGGTGGTATTTGGATGGTCTAGCATGGTCTAGGTATTTCTAGAGAAACATAATATAAGACCACAATTAGGCACAACTCACAACTCCGCAGCTTCGCAGCTTCGAGTTTTGCTCTCCAGGTGATCTCGGGCTTTGCGGCAATCACAGTGCCTGGGGTGTTGAAGTGGGGTCAAATTTCAACTCGTTGGTGCTTGTGGTGTCAATGAAAAAAACATGGAAATAGAATCACAATTCATGAGAATCCCCAGTGACATCCAATTCTTCTGGGTTGACACCACGAATTGGTCAAATGATCATGTTCCAATGGAATGCGGAGGTACCATCATTTATTCAGCTCAGAATCAGAAAATACGAAATGTATAGCAAAATTGCGGCTGTATAGGCATCAGGAGTTCAACGCTTAAACCAGCAGAAATGTTATCGAAGCTGTTTCCCTGGAGCCTGATTTGTGTCCCAGTGATTAAGACATACTTAAGACATGTGGCCACAAGCCATGTTCAGTTTCACTGCTCAAATTTAACTTTTGTTGGCCAGAGCCCCATTTTAGGTATGTCTCTTTTGTCTCTTGGATGAAGCCAATTTTTGCAGACATTCCCCATCAAGATTTCTGGCGGCCATCACCTTGAGTCACCGAGCGTCGTCATGTCCCGAGGTTGGTAAGGACCAACGAACCAAAGATGTGCATTTGGATGAGTACTTCCACAACATCCCTGCCTCCATGTTCACTGCCTTCAGATGTTTTACAGGAGCGAGTCGGGGTGCTGCAAAGCCCCAAATCATGTCGCGTTTTTGTTAAGTCGTGCACGTTGTGTTGGTACTGTCATTCCAGCCACAAGAACAGATGAGTGAAATGTGTATGGCCCAGAGCTCTTGACACCCAATTTGGGGGTGTCACAATCGCTAAAAAGACAGCCTTTCCGCAACCCCAGGAGAGTGCATGAATGAAGCGGGCCAGCCCATCACTCACATGCTGGCGGCTCAATTTGGACTTCCTTTCATATTGGCTTATGTTGCTTCGTATATGCTGGTGACTATGGGCATCTTCAATGTAATCTTGGCGGTGCCTTGGCTGATAGTTTGCGATCCCAGAACGTACTTCATTTAGATTGTTCATGATTTTACCCCAGCTTCATCCCATGTAACTTCCAATCCCAACTTCCCTGCTAGAAAAGTGTGTCACTTAGATATTGCCAGACTTGGGGTACGTATATTCAAAGACATCCCAGTTAGTCCCAGTTATAGTTATAAGTAGGGCTACCGCCCTGGTGCCGCCGAGCCCCCTTTATGGGGGGCATGTCAGTGGAAAGAAAGGAGTATGGCGACAGAATACAAAAATAAGTTTAATGTATGTATGTATATGTACATGTATATGTATATGTATATGTACATGTATATGTAAATGTAAATGTCTATGTATATGTATATATGCATATATGTATATGTATGTATGTATGTATGTATGTATGTATATGTATATGTGTATGTATATGTATATGCATATGTATATGCATATGTGTATGTATATGTATATATGCATATGTATGTATGTATGTATGTATGTATGTATGTATGTATGTATATGTATGTATATGTATATGTATATGTGTATGTATATGTATATGCATATGTATATGCATATGTATATGTATGTATATATATGTATGTATACAAATGTATGTATATAAATGTATGTATATAAATGTATGTATATATGTTTTGGGTTTGGTTTGGTTGTTTGGGGTTGGTTTCCGGGACTTCGACCACCGGCACCTTGGCTGCAATTGAACCTAGCCTTCAAGGCTCCTTTAGTTGCAAAGACAACTCTAGCACGTTGGCGCTGCAATGGCCATGGCTGAATGGCAGCGCTGCTGCTGCTGCTGCCGACGCTGGCATTTGCATGCGCATGTACAACAACTCCACTTGGACAAGTGGGACTGATGACTCGTGGGAATTTGATTTGCCTACTTTTGAGGCGTACTCCTGGGAAACTGTTTTGTGGCTGCTGATTTGCTTTCTTGTTTCCTTGGTGGTTACCTGCTGGTTGGGACAGTGTTTATGGATGTTTATGGTTTGAAAAGAAAACCTGGAATACCCGATGGAAAAAGTACAAACGCAAACATGGGAAACATGCGAAGATTTGTTCCTTACTTCGTTTGTGCTGTTTCCTGTTTGTCTGTTTTAGGCCTTCTAAACTTTTGACTAGACAGACGGTTGGAAATGACACTCATGTTAAAGGCTGTAACCCTAAGGTTAACGGTCCTTGCTCACAGGCCTGCTGGGTTGCCCGGTGGGCCGGAAAACGCAGGTTCAGGCCTGCAAGACTCAGGTACCGACGAATGGTTTGGGCCATCATTTGTCAAAGACAAAAATTTTGGGCCTTGGGAAAAAGTATAAGCGTACGACCAATCAGTTTTGCCCTCAGGGATCCTTCGATTGGTTCACAGACAGTTCACCCGAAGACTGTTGGATCGATAGCGTCTCTTCCAGTTTTGGAACCTCGTTTTTCTTTTCGGGGGGGGGGCGGTTGGCAGTGAAGTCACTAAACGCAAACGTGTTGAGCATCAATTGCTCCAAAAGCTTCAGACACTTTTTGGCCAGTCTTGACGATGAATCTCCGGCCACCGAAACAGCATGGCACTGCGGGACAGATCGTGCCTTCGAATGGCAGCTGGTTGTGGTGCCGTCAGCTCCTGAACTGCCTGCCAGTGATGGAGCACAGGCCGCTGCTGATGCTTCGCTGTCTCGGGCGCCTCCCCCTGCAATGCCAACGGCAGGGGCCGGCGGATAATGATTCTGAGATATAACCCAGCTACTAACCATGAATTGCTAAGTCCGCCACTTCTGGCATCCAGTATGTGGATGTATGTGCTGCCCCCCAGTCAGTTTCAGCAGTTTCTAACTGGTCTAGAGTTTGTGGTACATTGGGTTTGTAAACCAACAAACATGAATAGACTGGGGACACCACCTTGTACCTTTTGGATCCATTTGGTTGTAAATAGATCCTATGATGTCCGCATGATTTCCATTATGTTTCCATTTGCATGACATCCTGATTTTCAGGCCAACAATATCCAACATTTAATAAATCTAAGCTTAATATCATATGGTATGTTATGGTTTGTTCTTCATACCGTGCCGTGATCTCCGCAGTACGTTTTATAGAATTGCTGGTCATACCCAACAAACATTCTCAGTTTATCCCAGTTATCAGCCTTGCCATGGAGTTCTCTAACCTGCTAATGAATGGCTAGCGCAAGAATCCACTTATGTTTCGGGATAGAAGCCGGATATGTGACCAGTTGCTAGCTAACCATGGCCCATCTAAGTCATTCCTAGCCCGTCTAACTATGGAGTTTCTCATCAAGCCTACGTAGTTAATCTACTTATTTCCACCAACATACCTAAATCGTCTATAACCATGTCCCCCACAAATCCCATGCACACGTGCGCTGCTGCCTTGGCTGCTGCAGTGCGCGCTTTGCAGCTGGCGGCAAACATTGGGCCCCATCTGCGCAACTTCTTTCAGGTCTACGTGGACATCACCATGCGCGCCGCCAAAGAGAACGACGCCACCACCGCAGAGCAGTACTCGCGAGAGTCGGTGCGCATCGCACGAACCACGCGGGAACTGCTGAAGAAGTTCGCAGGGGCCTACCATCAGTGGCTGGGTGAAAGATATGGATTTTTTTTTAATGCCGCGGACATATAACTTATAACGTGCCAATAAAGAATGATAGATATTGGGTATCAATGCAGATAAAATGGGATTAACATTTTGAATGCTACGGACGCAATGGAGATATAATGGGATACAACCAAATATAACCAACAATTATGGTGATGTAATGGGGATACAACAATTTTGCCAATAAGCGATGGATATCAATGGGAAAAACCGCGGCCCCCATGTCCTTAGATAAGTTGGTTTAAACGTGGGTGAAAGGAATGGATGTGGGATTGAAAATGAGCGTGTAGCCTGCAGTAGTTCCACGTTGAAAATTGGGTTGGGGTTGACCGACCGTGGGCCCTGACACAGGATATAGTTGGGAAATGGGGATGGCTCAAAACCTTTTGTACCCTGGCCGTATGTGGTGCTTGGGTCTGTCTGACCAGAATCTTCATGAAATTACCAGCAAGAATGGCAAATTTGATGGAACAAATGAGGTCTTAAACCATCAGATTTGGGGAACTCATTTGATCTGATAGATGGGGTTGTTGCTTCGGGCAGCTGCTATGGGGTTGGGTCTGATGGGATAGAAAGTGTTGATATTGCTGATGTCTTGCAATTTCTGCTGGATGGCATGTTGGTAATGAATGTTGAGAATATGCATACTGACTGTATCACCTCTAGCCATTTGGATTTGGACCTTGTCAAACCCTGAGCATCGCCTTTTGATTACAATCACAAGTTTTTATTTTGAGGCCTAAGAAATCAAAATGCCTAGAGTTGATTTTTTCAGTCAAAAATCAATTTGAAAAAGATTGCTTTTCAAAGGCAAAAGTCAAAAGAGCAAATCAAAAGGAACTTCAAAAACAGATCAAACATATGTTTCCAGAAGCAGCTCTAGCAGCAAGGTTTTTGAGGGCATGCCTCATATCTCTAGGTAGCTTTGCACCTAAAAAATATGTACACACAGCTTGCTAAGGAACCCTGCTGGCTTTTTCCAAAGCCACCTGGCCTTTTCCAAAGCCCAAGTAGCCTGAAATCCTTTTCCAAAGTTTCCAGTCTACACTGTGCCTTTTCCAAAGCAAGGAGCTTTTCCAAACTAATCACCACTTTCCTCCTGCATGGACCTCGGCAAAAAAGGGTGCACCAAGATGCGATACTTGTATGCTACTTTTAAAGACAGGCGTGTGGATGATACTCCCATTGAGACTGAATGGTTCAATCTGGCCACCTGCCCCACAAAATATTTTGCTTTGAAACACCATTGCATTTGTGGGCTTAAAGATTTAGAATTCCACACCAGATGGATGAATCTGTGATGTTGTGGATCTATGTGAAAACTCATTCTGTCCTTTTCCAAAGACCATTGGTTCAGCCAGGCATAGCTTCTCAGGAAATCACCAGCCAGCTTCAAGGCTTTTTGGTACTGTGATGAAGTGAAGTGAGAAATGTGTCAGCCTCACCCCAGAGCTTCACCAGCTTTTCCAAATGGGTAGCCACCAAGATCATTTGCTGCTCACATTCTTCCATTGTGTCTTCAAAAAGCCTTTGCATAACAGGAATGAAAGCTGGCAGGAGGTGCCCGGCTTCCCCTCCTTTGCAATCCAATTGGGAATATTTGGCCCATGGCTTTTGTGTGTCTGTAAACATGCTCATCCTGAGGTTTGTCAAGCGGCTTTTGCATTCCTGCTTGCTGTATTCAATTTGAATTTCACGGAATAGAATTGCCAATCTGTCTGCTGGCTTTTTAGTAGCTCTCTGGCCAGGGCCCTCAATGTAACATGCATAATGGAGAATGGAGCCTAGAACATGTCCATAAAGCCCTTTGCAGAACAAGACGTGTAGTGGATCTCAACGAATATTTTTGCTTGAGATGTCTGCCAGGCATTCTTCATGGGTGAAGACTTTAAACTTTTGCTTTTCCAAACACATTTCCTTGTACCCTTTTCCAAAGGTACATGGAGTGAAGTTCTGGGCATCACACTCCCAGCAAGGCCAATGGCTGTTCGGATTACCAAAGAGTCAAAAAAAAACTCATCGTCTCCAATCACGCTCCACAGGACAGCCTTGTATCTTTTGAGATGCAATGGCTGGCCTGCTGGCTTGTGGAACACTGAACCCTTTTCCAAAGGTTTGTTGTCTGGATCCATGGCTGGGCGCCTGCCACCTGCCAATGCATCAAAAGACCATTTAAGGTATTTCCAAATGACTTCCCATGATGTCTTGCTGCCACAGCTTTTAGGAAAGCAGGCTAGGAGCCAGTGGATCAGCAAGGTGCTGGTGCTGCTGAGTAAGCAGCCCCAGGAATAGACCATTAAATTGTCATAGTAAGATCTTCCCAGTCCTTTTCCAAAGACATAGGGTGATCTTTCAATTTGTCATCACTGATTTTTGCAACCCCTTGAAGGCTTTGAGTTTTCCCTGCCCCAGGCTGAATAATTCATGGAAAACTTGTGGGTAGTTCTCACCCAGTTTCCAAAACGTCATATGTGGCAAAAACAATGATGCCTTTCCCGAAGCCTCCTTGGAAGTTTTTGGGTTTTTGCCTGGAACTTCCACTTCATAAGGGTCAGCAATCTGCACACTGCAGCAAAAATGGTTCATGATTTGTCTATGGCAATTCCCAGGCTGGGACCCCCAATTGCCTGTTTGTGCGATTGCCACAAGGTCCTGATGCTGGACACCATCCTGAATGGCAGAAGCTGCCAAGGATTGAAGTAATGTTGCACTCAGGACCCCTTTTGCCCAATGATTCAGCAATTTGTTTACTAAAGCCGATTCTGCAACAGCACCATGTGCCTTTTCCAAAGCTTTGCTGTCTCTGGCCTTAGGTGCCCTCCCTGATTCATATTCTAGCTGTCACCCTCTGAGCCTCTTTGCCCCTTTCCTACAAGCTTGAGCAGAAGCTGAAAAAAAGCTGCAGAAACATTAACCTGTTGCAAAAGAATAAGAGTGAGGGTTGAGAGTGAAGGTGGGCAGGGCATGCTTTTGGGAAGCTACCTGGGGGGATGGCTAGTGCAAAGGTATATAGAAATCCCTGCCACATATGGCTATATAGGGCCTGAAATCAAAAACAAAAAGCTACAAGTACATGTAGAAACCATGCCTTTACAACTTGATTTCATTCCTTTTAGGGGTGCTATGTATTGTATGTTTACATTTTACCTTGTCCCTACCCACCACCCTTCCACCAAGCTGCAGACAGATAGTGGCCTTTTGCCGGCTATGGGCCTATGTTGTTCTTGGCAGTGGCTTCTCCCATTTTGGAAGAGCTACTCCTAAGCTGCATGTTGGAAAGTGCCTTTTTCCAAAGGCTGTCAATGTACCCAAAATTGCCCTTTCCCAAAAGATGCACATGTCCCAAAACCAGCACTTTGCCAAATGCTTTCCACCAGCACTTTTTCAAATGCTTTTGTTGTCTGGCATGCAATGATCTTTTCCAAATTCTTACCTGCTGCTCCTAGACTCCTAGACCCCTTGCTTCCAGCCAGCCAGAGAAGCCTCCTTGTTGGCCAGCTGTTCCAGCTCCTTTGCTTCATCTTTGGCACCCTTCACTAGCTTGGAACTTTCTTCCAAGAGGGCCTTCAAATCAGAGCGTGTGGTTTTTCTTTTTGCCAGTCAAAGCCATCTTGAGCTGGGGCAAAACTTTGGTATGGTGGCTTGACCAACCTTCAGCTCCAGCCTTACCCTGCCTGCTCAGCTTTGGGCTGGCCTTTTCCAAAGCCACGTCCAAATTACTTTGTGTGCTGGACACTGTGTCCCTTGCTTTCCTTGCCTTTTTCAAAGCTTCCTTGAATTATTTCTCTTCATCTTCTTTCTCTTCATCTTCTTCCTCTTCTTCTTCTTCTTCCTCACCCTCTTTGTCCTTGATGGCCAGTTGCTTCTGGCCTTTTCCAAAACCTTTTCCTTTGCCTTTTTCTTTTTTTTGCCATTTTCCCTGGCCTTTTCCAAAGCCTTTGCCTTTTCCACCTGCTATGTCCTCCAAACCAAGGCCCATGGCATCTTGATAGTACAAGGTGTTGAACCTGTCCTGCTCCTCCTCCCTAGGTTCCATTCCCTGTCCCTGTTGCCATTTGGACCCCCTTGGGACTTACACTTGGCCCGAATCTTGGAGGCTGCTGTGGATCGGTTTTGGCGCCACACAACCCTGCCAGAGCTGCAGTGCAGCACCAGCTCACCCCATCCAAACTTGTCTGTGGCCTGCTTCTCTGACATCCAGTTGTCCATTGTTGTTGTTTTTTGCTTGGCCTCCACTTCTCTTGAGGCATGGAGGTACTTCTTACCACAGGTCTCCATAAGCCACTGGGCAGCTCTGAGGACTTTCTCTTTCTTGTTTAGGCCTTCCAGCTCCCCCTTTTCCAAAGTGTTATTTTTCAAATGTGCCTGGTGTCTGGACCAAACCTTTGCATGTTCCTCTTTGGTGAGGCTATCCTTCAAAGTTTGGGCTTGCTCTTCAGTGGTTCCTCCCTGGGTGGCAGCTGCTTTGATTTTTTCATCCAGTGACATGTTGCCCAACTTTTCCAAATTGGACTTGTTCAGATCATGTTTGGTTTTGGCTTGGGCTGCCTTTTCCAAAGCAGCATTTTTGGAGCCAGTGGCATTTGCCTTTGCGTTGGCTTTGGTTGTTTTCACTACTGCTTTTGGCTTTTTCAAAGTATTGGGCTTTCCCAAACCCTAGTCTTTTTTAATAGCTTTCATGCTTTTCTTAGGCCCCATGGATCCTAAACACAACTTGGTGATTAAGGCTGCTTTGGTTTTTGAGCCAAAAATTCACTAGGATGCAGCAAACAAAAACCGCATTCGAAAAAAATAATTGGCTGGAATTCAAAAATAGTACCAAAACAAGCTTTTGAAATCAGAAAAGAATCGCTTGAATTCAAAAAAAGATCAAAAATATCGAAAGAATCCAAAAATCCAAATCTGATCAAATCTGTTTTGATCAGGTTTGGATTTTTTTGTTTTTTTAATCCAAGTGATTTTTTTGATTTCAAATGGTTTTTTGAAATTCCAGTGACTTTGTTTGGGCTTTCACTGATTCCAACAATGTTGTCACAAGAAGCCTTTGGAAAGGGGCTCTTATGTTTCAAAACAAAAACTAAAAACCAAATAAATTCCACATGCACATGAAATGTTTTGCTTTTGTTTTCATTTTGTTGTTTTGGAAAAGTTGCTTTATTCTAAGCGTTTTTGTTTTCATCAATTAAATATGTATATATATATATATATTTACGTACCGCTACATAATTCAAAGGATTATCACTAACCCATATAAGAATGAAGCCCACGATGAAACTTCATGTCTCTTTGCCAAGTGGCCGGTGTGAAAGTTTTGTGGTGAACCAGCCAGCCGCTGTGTCGGACCTCAAAGCAGCAGTTTGTTTCCTGAGGCTGGCCGCGCCCAACAGAACTCTTCTGGTTCAAACAGACCCAGTGGAAATCTGCGGACTTGAAAATGAGCAGTGCCTTACTGCTCTTGCACTGCAGCCGAAGGTCGCGACAACCTCTGCAGCGATGGCTTTGTGGTGTGTTGTAGGTGGGCCAGTGGTGACATGGGGAGAGAGATATTTTGGTGCTGACAGCTCCGAACTCCAAGATCAGCTCAGAGGTGTCCGGCAAATGTGCTGTACGGAGGCTGCGTTTGCTGCGCTCCCCGAAGACACATCTGTAGTGACATGGGGACACGTGCGTCTTGGCGGTGACAGATGCGAACTCCCACACCAGCGTCAGAACGTGCTTATTTAAGACTTTATTTTAAAAATAAGATTGCATTTTTTATTTTTTTTGTTCATTTTCATTATTCATTAGTTGTTTGGTTTGTCCAGCTGGCCACTTGTGGCCCTGCTGGTTTCTGTACAATGTGCATGTGAACCCTTTTCCAAAGGCTCTGCTGGTGAAACTGAATTCAAATTCTTTTCCAAAAGTTTCGAACCCTTTCTCAAAGGTTTGGAGCCGTTTTCAGGAAATCTCTAGATTTGTTCTGGGGCCCTTTCCCAAAGGCTTTTTGTAGCGCAGCCCTTGTCCAAAGGCATGCCATGGCTTAGGTCTTTTCCAAAACCTTTTGGGGGCCGCCTTTTCCAAAGCCTTTGCCATTGCAGTGGGCCTTTTTCAAAGCTTGCCAGCCTCCTATGTCTCCAGGAAGGCTTCAGCTGCCTGCTCAAGATCATCAAAGATTATGTCAATTGGCAGGTTGCCATGCTGATCTCATTGTTATCATAAATGACGCCACTTGCATGGAGCTTTCTGCACCAGCCCAGCGTGTCATGCATGCCCACGCTCTCATAGCAGTGGGCCCCCTTTACTTTGCTTCTGGTTCTGGGGCTGAGCAGCTGCCTGGCCTGCTTGTGGACTTCATTCTCCCTCCACTGGGTCTCAACATCTGACAGAATGTGCACATCTGCATGGTCCATCAACTTGTTGAGTGTTTTTTTTCATTTTGGAAGCTCACCCTGTTCTGTTTTTCAATGGTATTGTGCCAGTCAACTACCATGATTGGCTTCTTGTTCTTCTTTCTCCCGGTGTCCTTTTCCAAAGACCCAGTTTGCTTAACGGTGTCCTTTTCCAAAGACCCAATGGTTTTGTCTTCCTTGGTGTCCTTTTCCAAAGACTCAGTGGGCTTATCTTTCTTGGTGTCCTTTTACAAAAACCCAGTGGGCTCATTTTTTTTTGGTGTCCTTTTCCAAAGACACTGCTTTGTCCTTGTTGGTATCCTTTTCCAAAGGCCCATCCTCCTTATGCTCCTCTTCCTTTACCACCAGGAGCTCCTTCTGCCCATTATGTGCCCTCCTCCCTCTCCTGACCTGGCCTTCAGGAGTAGCCTTTTCCAAAGCTGGCCCAGCTGCCTTCCCCAAAGCAGCCTTGGGCTTCTTGGGCCTCCTCTTGCTTTTTTTCCTGTAGTTGCATTGGGTGGAAGATGAAGCAGTTTGATAATCTTCTTCCTCCTCCTCCCTTTTTTTCTTCATCTCCTCTGCCTTGGCTTTGCCAGCCTTTTCCAAAGCTGCAGCCTGCTCCACGAGGCTTTCCTCAGCATCTGGCTCTTCAATGGTCAAGTTGGAAAATTACTTGAGCCCTTTGGGCTTTGCGGTTTGAGCGGTCCCACTACCACTAGGCGTGTTTTTGCAGTTGGAGCCATAGTAGCCATACCTATTGGGAGGACCCCAATCTTCCCAGTCCTCCCAATCTTCCCACTCACCAGCCATGGCAGCCAGCAGCTTTTCCAAACTGCTGGTCTTTCAGGGCTTTTCCAAATCCTCCTGAAGGGTTGTTTTAACCCTAGGCTTTTCCAAACCTATTTCAAAAGTGTTGAAACCCTTGAAACCTAAATGTAATGCTGCTGTTTGCTGGCCGAGCTGCGCATGTGTACTGTGAAATGTACCTCCGAAATTGTGTCTGAAAATACTGTGAGTTGTGTGGTGCTGCTGTGGTCATGTGTGCCATGTGAGCCTGCTCATTGCTGAACAAAAACAGCTGCAGAAACACAACATGCAGTTGAGGTCTAAAAAAGCAAATGCCCCTTTTCCAAAGGGCATGCAAACATGGTTTTGTAAACTTAAAAACCAAAGTTTGGAAAGGTTTTAAAAACACAAAACAAGTTTGGGAAACATGTTTAAGAACATGTTTGATGATATGTATACTTACGTTTACATGAATTTAATTTCTAATTGATTTGTGTCTGTATATATATATATATTTATATTTAGTTATTTACCATTTTGAGAAATTTCAATGTGTATATAAATATATATGTGGTGGTTTGAAGTGGTTTGTTTTGTTTGGTGGACACCAGCCTAACCCCTCCTGGCCCCAGTGCCTTCTTGGATGCATGTTTTCCTCAAGCAAAATTGGTTAGCTGCGGGCTGGCCCCATGTTAGGGCTTGCCTTGCTGGACACTTCTCAGATGCACGCATGCCCTTTTCCAAAGGCACCCACTTGCTTCAAAATTGCTGGAGCACTTTTCCAAATGCCTGAGGTGCACATACAGTATCTACCCGTTGGCACCCCATTCCTTGCAAAGTTTTTCCCTCAGGTCTTTGGCCTCTGACTTTGTCAATGATTCCTTTTCCAAAGAAGTCCAAATCTCACCAATCATTTGGCTGTGCCAATCTGGGCACACTTTCCACCTTTTTTCTGTGGTGCCTGGCAAGTAAGACCTGGGATTCTTCTTGGCCACAGTTTTCTTTATCTTGAGCCAAGGCTTTCTCTCCTCCTTTTCCAAAGAGGTTTTTTTCCATGGTTCTTCTTCTCTTTCTTGCCTGCATCTTTCTTGGGCTTTGCTTTCTCTACCTTTTCCAAAGCAGATGCAGGCCTTTTCAGTGCATTTTCCAAAGCAGATGCTGGCCTTTTCAATGGTCTTTTCCCATAGCCCAAGGCAGCTTGCAAACCATCCTTTTCCAAAATACCATTTGCCCAGCCTTCTTCTGGCAATGCACACTGCGGCAGAGGAAGTGCCTGTTTTTCTGTGGTGTGCCTGCATGGCTGTCTTCAAACACCTCTGGGAAACCATTGCCAGCCATGGAAACATCACGGTTTTCTTTTTTCAGCTTTCTCTTTGAGTCTTCTGCTGCTCTTCCCTTTTCCAAAGGAAGTGCCACTGGTTTAGGTGCCTGTTCCAAAGCATCTGGGATTTCCAGCAGCTTCAAACCTTGCTGCAGCAGTGAGAAATCATCTCTGCAGAGTTTGGCAGCAGCAGCTGTGAGCCCCTTTCTGCCCAGCTTCCTCACATGGAAGAGGATGCAAGAGGTTCTTTCCATTCTCAGGTTAGCCCACACCTGGCCAGAGCTCGAGGTGTCATTCAGCTCTGGCCTCTCAGCCATCAGGCTGATCAGTGCTCTCACAGGTTGAGGATGAACCTCTGCAGAAGGTTCAAGTATCAGCACTGACTTCCAGAGTCCAATGGTGTGGATTAACCCTTTTGGGCAAGAGCAATTGGCTTTGGAGACATGCTCATAGCTGACCAGGTTCTTCAAAACCAACACATTGTGTGCCAATACTTAGCAGAACTGAATCTATGTAAGGTTTTGGAAAGTGCCTGGCACCACCTTTTCCTGGGCCTTTTCCAAGGCCTTCTTCTTGGCCCTTTCCAAAGCCTTCACTTTGGCCTTTTCCAAAGCCTTCTTTTTTTGCCTTTTCCAAAGCCTTCACTTCCACAGTCTTCCCTTTTGCCTTTTTCAAAGCCTTCCATGTTTGATGTGTATATTGGTTTCTATGTTTGAGCTATATACAGCTGCAGAAACATATGAAAATCATGTGCTGCAGAAGCAAAATGGCTACTAGACAGGCATGGAAAACACAAAAAACAAAAGAAAAACAACCATCGAAAACAAGCAAAATAAACAAGGAAATTCCTAACAAATTGCCTCAAACTGAAGATTTTTCCTTTTTGTTTCCTCTTCAAAAAATAGCACTTTAAAAATCATGGTGGCTAATTGATTGTAATCAAAAGGCGGTGCTCAGGGTAGTTTGATAGGAACCCGGACCCCGGAATCTTTTGATGTTAAATTCCACGGATGCGTTAGTTTTAGTATGTTTTAGTCTTTTGAGTCTATAGGTTTGTAAAGAAAATTGGATCCCCAATGGCCCAGTGGGCTTATTTGTAGCACCTGGGGTGGCGCTTTCCAAGCGCAGGTTTCAAAACTTGGAAGAGCCGGATATCGCAAATGCCCTCCATGGCAAATCCAAAAGCAGGACTGCCACTGAGGTTTTTTTCACTGCGGCTGGTTTTGGAGTTAAAGGTGAGAAGCAGAAGTGGGCCATTCAAAATGCATTGGTTGGCTGATCATTCTCATTACAAGGATATATAAGGTTTATTCTTGAACTTAACCCATAGTAGCGAAACTTATCCACCAACTAATATATTTTGAACAGCTCAAGTGGGGGCCAAATGGTCAGTGAAGGATCTTCCCCCAGCTCTACCAATATATTTCCGGGGGAAGGCTACCCCAGGAGTTCTAGCTAAGGTGGCGATTGCTGCTTCGTTCGATGTTGTTGAAGGGTACAATAACGCACACGTGGATACCCAAAGAGTAGAGACATATAAACAACACAGTGCGTTACAGGAATACTAGCCCCAACCCCCGTTCATACCAAATACCCCCATCCTATGGTTCCCAAGGTGTGTTTGTATCTCCTATGTCCACCATGGTTTCTGGGGTCTTCAACATGGTCCCTGCAGTCTGAAGTCTTGAAATTCCCAACATGGCTGGTTACAACATAATGGGAAATTGAATTGATTGATTTGTTTGATTGTACCATATTTACCGTTTTACTTAAAACTCATTTTTTGATGGCCATAAATTATCAGAATTTGGGGTATAGTTGATACCATTAAATGCCACATTATCAGCCACACCCGCATTCGTTTCACGGAACACTGCAGGTGGGTTTGACTGAAAATAGGGCACACCAAAGAAACATAAATTCCCAGATTGATTATTCTCAATTCACCGTTAAACTAGCCATTATTGGGGATATCACCTACTTTCAGACATTATTGGGGATATCACCTATTTTCAGACATACCAAAATATCATTATGGATGGCTGTATATCCCCGCAAAACCTAACGTTCGCCTATGATGACATAGTATATCTCATTTTCCAACGGTTTTAACACATGTTTCATCCACGGCTCTAACCGCCTTGCAGGGATGGATTGTATATACACTAGTTGTGGCCCCTCGCCATGCGTACGACACAAAATTTGCTTCATGGTTCGTTTCACAACCATTTGCGGCAACAACCCAGCGCAGACTTCCTGGGGGTCCGTGGTTTTAGAAGGGCTGTTTCGTGCGAGAAAACACAGGCTCCGGGCAAACGTCCGGTTCTGTGCGTGTATATCCTTTCTTTCCCAGTGCATCCTCATTGTCATTTTCCCTAAGAATTGCTGGTTATATTGTATATATAACATATATATATATGTGGAGGTCTCTGAAAAAGGAATTCCCATGTCAGTCATCCATGACTGGATGATTTGCGGTACCCCCATGATTTTGGAAACCTCCAAAAATATGTTTGCCGGTTTATAAACCCATTATACAGCATTCATTAGCTAGTTCGATATCCCCACCATAAACCGTAGTTATTATAGTGATAAACATATCTATAGTTATGTTCAAAGTATACTTCGATATATCTACAATAAAACTCAAACATAATTAACATCATTATTCTGGTCACTTCGATTCACTTATATGTTTGATTTTTTTGATACGTATATCACCCCAGTAAACGCTTCGCTATGGATGTTCGCTGCCTCGGTGAATCGCCAGGATTGACGTCGGCTCGGCTAACCTCTTCGCGGATGAAGTCACGGAAAACATCGCCATCTCCAAGGCGGTCAGCATCGACAACATTTACAATTTATTGCATTGTATGGCCCTAAAAACAAAGTTGTAAGTCTGTAAATTACTCCATTTATGGAATAATGACCCCATCTATAACTTTATAATCATGAAAATACAAGTGGTATTTTGGGCTAAAAAACTGTAGGTTAGGGCCATGGGACAACGTTGACTCGTTTGCCTGGCCCATCTAAGCAGGGGCACTCCATGGTGAAATGTTGTAATCGTTCCAACATTAGGGGGAAGGCGAGTCAACTCAGATCAAGATATCCATCTACATACAGACCAAAAACACCATGGTATTCTTGAATACTCAAACCAATTAAGCCACAAACCATTGAACAGTGCTGACAACCCCTGTTGATTCACAATTAGTTCGGGGTTATACTACCCTATATGTGTATATATATATATATAGGCATATATATTGGAGATTATCATGGACTATCACAGTCCATTATGGGAATGCCATTGGATCTAATGTGTAAGAGCCCAATGAAATCAGCCAGTTTAAGATGGGTTAAGTTATACATGGTTAAAATGTTGTAAACCACTTATCAAGTGTGGTCACTCAAGCAGGATTGATCGAACATGTTGGGAAAAATTGAGGCTTGCAGGGTGTGAGTTGAGTTGGAATTGATAAATCCAGAGGATGGAGTCGAGCCTGTCGAGAAGATAGCACAGGTCCACGTTTTTTTTTACCTTTCAGATTTTTTGGTTTGATCTCCAAGCCCGTGTTTTGGGCATGTTTTTGGTTGCTTCTCCCGCTTCGAGCATGGCTCCAATCTTGTCTGATTTGCTGAAGGGAAATTGGTGGTGGTTTGAAGAAACCCCAGTACCTGTGTATTCGATTCGTACCCAAGCAGTGCTGCAGCCAAAATATGGTACTGAAATCTGTATGGAAACAACCAGGTATAATAAAGTCCAGGATGTCAGAATCTCAGAAGCCCCCCTTGCTCCAGAATATATAAACCAATTTTCGGAATAATCTCCTCCATGCTGAAAGGAACTCTTTCTCCTGGTGATTCAAGATCATCATGCGCAAAGCCTCATGGATGATTTGGTTCCTTGGCGATTCCCCTCATGGTCATATGGTGGGGATCTGTGTCGATCCACCCAAACGGCTTGCTCAGGCGCCCCGAAGTGATCTTAAAGTTGACTTGGGTAGGGGGCATGACAATCCAGATACTTGCGCTTGTACCTTTATATGATACATGTGTACATATATATATATATATGTCTATTCATTTTTGTATTATTGTACATTATACATATTGTTTCTTATTTCTTATATACATATTGATTCTTATTATACCAGTGCCTCAAGTTTTTTTTACATGTTGGTCGAGGAACTGCAGGACCTTCCACCTCGGCGATGATGTTCCCAGCTGATGTTGGAAACCACTGACCAGTTGACTTGGCTTGATCTACCCATTTTATTCGGTTGAGATCCCAATATCCCCCTAGAATGTATGTTATCTATGATATATTTGATTAACGACTTATATCACATTATGTGTAAATCTATGATATATGTTATCCCATGTTATCCCCAGATTTCTACGTCAACCTCACATTGATATCCCTTTCTTCCCTCTATAGGATTTGCCCCACGACCGTGCGAATCTCTTCGAGATCATCGATGCTGATGGTTCTAACCTTAGCATCCGATGTTTGTTGAAGCCGATGGCATAAAAGATTTTGTTAGAGTTTATATGTTGAAATATGTTGCAATAAGTTTGATATTAGGATATATATCTATATATATATGTATCACATCTATACATCTTATATATGTATATATATACATATTATAATATATATATATTACATACATAAATGATTAGTCTATCATATACCAATATATGAGTATGTGTATATATATATATATACACATGTAATATGTATATACAAATACAAACGTTAAACAATCCTCATTCAAAAGGGAACATGTTAAACAACGTCCATTTTCTATCTACTCCAGAACGTTTACATATGTACGTATGTTTATCATGTATGTATATATATATAGGCATCTTTAACCTGCCCCACAATATTTTCTGGTGGCTCTCTAAAGCCAGTGGCAGTCAGACATATCCAAAGCCAGAAATTGACACCTCCTGCTACTAACATGGATAGCTTGGATTCCATCCGCTGTCATTTATAAATGTATTCATTCCCATGTATAAATGGAGCTTTCCTAAGTCATAGGGCTACCCCCAGTTATCATCCATTTCTAGATGGGATTTTCAATGAAATAAACGATCCAGCGAGCTCGAACCTACCGCCATTTGTTCTGTGGCTCCTCCCAGCATCGGTAAAATCTCATCAACATTCATCAACCCTCTTTGTTTTTTTTCTATGGTTTGCGAACTGGAAAATCATTATTTTTCTTCATAGAGCAACCATGTTCAAAAATAGTGATTTATGATTATTATAGAGTTTCATAGAAATGGTTTGATATATATGTTTTTTAAGAGTTACATCGTCATGTTCATTACCAAATGGGTTATTTTCCATCGATACATAAAATAGCCAGAGGATACAAGATATGAGATCATTTTCGGATCTTGGTTTCAATCATACATCAGACCATCAGGGTGTGTTTGAACATGTTGTTATGACAATGTTATGACCATGTCTTCAAGAGGGTAAATGATGATAAGCCATTGGATTTTGGGGTATTCCTATCGGGGCCGCTGTTCCGACTTTCGGGCTTCCAGGTTCTGGCACGCTGGGGCTGCCTGAGCTGGTGCAAGGTCGGGAACCATTGCCAATTTGCCATGATTTGCCCATGCTCAACAAGAATAGAAGAATAGTTAAATGCCGAAGTTGATTGGTGATTATGACATGAACTAACAGAATACCGTTTGATTTTCATGTAATGGAGATTAATATGGTATACAATGGCAATGTTGTATTACATACACCACATATGCGCAACCCAAAATAAAGATATCTAACACTAAAACCAGGGTTTTGTTTAGGAAATGTTTTATTTGCCCACAATAAAGAAACACCTTCGAACAATCACCTATTCACCTATGTTTTGCAGCAAAACATCCACGGGAACAGTATGGCACTCCCTGGCCCTGGACTGACATTGCATCATTTGAAGATATTTGAAGTCTTTCTGTGTTCATGAGCGGTCAACAATAGATACAAAGTTGAGAAGAAATAGATAAGGAATGGATAGAACTAGGACATTTCTCACTCAGTCATATTGGACCGTAAACTCTTAGATCAACGATATAATCGCTCCCTAGCAGCCAGTCATTTGCAGGTCTGCTGAAAATCCGTGGTGAAATCAACAAAAGCGACACTGTGGCAGCGTTCCTTGGTCTGTTCGGTTGCATGAGGATGCTAACTAAAATCTGTACACAAATCCATTCCAATTGATACTTGGTATGTTTGATTTAAATGTTTTTTTTGTACTATGGAAGTGCCATTATTGTTTTTGTTGTTTAACATATTTTTTGGTTTTTCACCAACAGAAAAAACGTGAACGTCTCCCCAGTTGAGCAAGTTTTGGGATTTAGTTCATGATGTTCCGGTCTTTGGGGGAAGGTGGTCAATCATTTATCTTAGGTATATATATATATATGTGATATATAATAATATATTTATATATATATATATACATATTTGCGCACATGTCTACTTGTCAATGTATAATTCGTTACATACGTATTTTTACATTTATACATAGATGTGTTCGTTGTAAGGCTGTAAGGATTCCCATTATGGGATGACGGTTGCAGACATACGAGGTATATGCATGTGACATACATTACACGCTGTACATAGTAACTCCAAACAAGATAGAACAGTGAAATCATACTACATAAAGCAAGTATGGGCTATGTTTCTATTATTTGGGTGTTTTATCAAAGTAGATATTCATGTGTATATGTATGTATATATATATATATATATGTATATATACATATATATGTCGCAATATGAATTTACCTAGGATGGCAAGATCGACATAGATGTTCTGCTTCTGTCATCAGTCCCTTGGCCACTACCAGGACTTGCCAAGTGGCTAAGGTATGCTTTGCTCTTATACTCGTTTGTTGGAATATGTTGGGTACCCAAGTCATACCATGGTTTATCATGATGTTCCCCTTTAAGGCTTCTATTTGAGGAAGGTTTGGACCCATATCATGTTGGTGATTCCTTATGTCTCAGTAGTTCCTGATACCATCGGATGAAACTATGATTGCTTTTACCGCTTTGACCGAGCCATTATTGCTGATTCACGTCCCCATTTTTGGTGATCAGGTGATCTCTATTTTCGGACAGCTATTGTTGGAGATATATCCACATTAAATCCAGGGTGCTGGTTGATTTCCAGCTATTGGTTGAAGTTATTGGTTGACTATTCTTGAGTGTTGAAGGGAGGGAGGAAACTATGGGTATCCATGTAGAATTTGCTATGAAGAGCCAAGGCACTACCAAGAGTTTCCCAGCCACATGATAGTATGAGTATCAGAACTGCTTTTGTGTCCAGCAATATGTTGTTTGATTGTTTGACTGTTGATTATTTGATTTGTTGAGTTGTTATTATTGAATGTTTAACT